GTACATTGCACAAGACAAGTTAATATGTTACGTTAGTTTACATTGGCTTTAGATGTTTTATTATGATTGGAGGTGGATGACAACCCATCAGTGAATTTGAGAGTGGGAGTAGGGTTCATTAGAGGAGCCTGGAAGCAGCCAAACCTTTAAGAATTGCAGACAGGTGCCTTTGTTTTCAGATTAAACTTTAGATTTATCGGTACCCAAACATCTTAACCACTCGCGTTTCACATTTGGACAGCTTCATCTGAAGTCGGTGGTCAATGGGGTCCTTAACCTTATTCAGTATAGCTGAAGTGGAATTCTGTAGGTCAGCGACACAGCATTTGTTGAAGCTTGTTGTTCAGAGATGCTTACAGAAAATGCATTTTTTTAAGCGGCCTCATTAGTAACATTTTTCAAAATATGAGCGTTGTTGTATTGGAATCAAATTTCCATTTCGAAAGAAATTGGATTTCTACATACATCAGCATTATTTATTTATTTCATTCATTGAATAAATATGCAATTTGTGTTCTTTACAATCCAAATTCGCAAGATGTTTAGCACAAACAAAAATGTTATTACACATTGAACTCAAGTAATAAATTACATAATGTGCTTTGTGATTGAAAGAGCAATTTTCTATGATGTGGAAGTTGTACTCGTGCAGAAGTCTAGTTTAACACAAAGTGGGTTCATCATAGACAACAACAACAACTTACATCTGTCGTGCATCTCAGAGCACAGACACTGCTGTGTGGCACGGTGCATGCACGGAAGGACCCACATCGTCAAAGTCGGTGCCAAACCCTGCTTTAGCCTGGCCTGTCGGGACTTGACGAGTTATTCATTCATCAGTTAACGTATGGTCAGAAACATATGGCACGTGCACATGTGTACGAACCAATTTATGCGTTTGAGAAAAATATATTGTACATGCACCACATGGGCAAAAGACTGCATTTGTAATTGTAAGTCCCTATGGGACTTCCAACATCGTCAGTTAGCCTCCTGTGTTGGTGACCATTGGCTAGATATACTTTATAATATCAGTCCACTTTACTATTTCGATATCGCAGCGTGCTTTCATAGAAAAAGACGAGTCACATAAAACACATCAAGTGATGTTTTTGTTGTAGGCTGTGCTGTAAACTTGCGTTAGCTAATAAATAATTTGCCAAATGTGTGTAATGCAACAGCCATGCTCTTATTAGACTGCAATTAGGCAACGACTTTTTTATGGTTTTATAAATCTAACACCATTTGGTAATTTCTTATTGTGGTATTCTCATTTTCCTTCGCAAATTAGAATAATTTTGTGAATATTTTTTTTATGGCGAGTAGTTTGTGTACATCACCAGACAGCGTGTCACGTTTCCTAAGAAAAATTGAAAGCACTCACATCTTCTGGGTGACTTATTGCATCCTTGATCTCTGCTTCTCACCCTGAATTACTCTAATTGCGGCGCCCTGCTAGGGAGCCCAGTGCTGACCTAGGGGTCGGAAGTCGCGGCTGCGCGGGTCATGCTGGCGTGCGCGGCCGAAGGGGGGCCTTTGGGCGCCCCCCCCCCCGCCCCCCACTGCTCCACGCTTTTCGGCCGATCAAAGGCCCTGGCGTCTCGCGGCCCCTTGTTGTGAGTTTTTTTTGTTCGTCTCTCGCCCTGCGCTAATTGGCTGGCAGGAAGGGGCCCGAGGGGAGCGTCCCCGGAACGCTTTTGTCGTGGCCGTACGAGCCCGCGGCTGTGGACGGATATGCGGCTGAAAAGGCACGGGCACTTTAAATCAATAATAATAATGAAACGTATAAAATACAAAATTCCTTCATTACGACTCCTGCCCAAAAAAGTGGGCAGAGCCGTGCCCCCGTGGCGCGTCGATGTCGCAGTCGGTGCGTGGCATGCATTGTGAACTTTTTATTATATTTTCAGTCAAAGCCGTTTAGATTCCTCCCTCTCTCTGTACTGGACCCCTGCCCGCTTCCAAAAAATGAGTCTACAATGGCGCAGGAAGGATCTAGTGGGGATGCTTTGTGCCTTGGCATGTTTTGTTGGCTTCTGGTCATTTATAAACTGACTTGGAGGTTAAAAATGTCATGTTTTTATGAAGTGGTGCTGGTGAGAGATTCAGGGGGAGGAAAGTTATCCTTCACATGTTTCAGAAAATTTGTCTTATGATTTTCAGGGTGTATTAAATGAAGGGATATTAGAAAGTGAGTATTACTTGGAGATGCCTAAATTATTCATTCACTGATGTTGCTCAGACTTCACAGCTTTGCTGTATTGCAGACTACTTTGTGGGAATGTCAAAAAGTCCATGCATCATCATAATTATCATCAGACACCAAAAAGATTTCCAAAATCATGAGCCAACACAAGTACCAGGTTCGATTTAACACAGTACACACAGTACATAAAATTCGTGAACTGATCCCATCTGTGAAGGATATGATCTCTGACATGCAATACCCCGGCATCTACAAACTAAGCTGTGTCTGCGGCAGTAGTTACATTGGGGAAACTAAGCGACTCGGACCGTGTTCGTGAACAGAAGGCATATCTGAAACACGGTAGGACCAATACCTCGGCCGTGGCTGATCATTGTTTTAATGTGGTGGGCTAACTCGAAATTGATTTCTCTAAGACGATGGTACTTTGCAAACCCACTGGCTATCAACAAAGATTCATTCATGAAGCCATCCATTTATACAGACTTAGACACAATTTCATCCGAGAAGATGGGTACAAACTCAGCAATCACTGGAAGGACATTATCAACCAGTTTAAGTCATAACTGGCTGTAATGTTTCCATTTTAGACCTGGCAGCCCTTTATTGGTGGAAGCCCACCACCAGGACCATTGCTGCCCTCTACTACCATCACCACTAGCAGTAGCCCTTGATTGGTGGAAGTCCACCACCAGGGCCATCGCTGCCCACTACAATCATCACCACTAGCAGTAGTCCTTTATTGGTGCCGTCGTGGCCCTGTATGAGGACCATCACCTCTAGCAGCAACCTCCACCTTCAGCGATGTGAGTGTGTTAGCGAGGTGCAGTGATTACTTAGCAGCCCTTTAATTGGCGTAAACCCACCACCAGCGCCGTCGTTGCCCCGTTACGAGTAACATCACTCACATGAACATCACTCACGTTAACATCACTCACGTTAACATCACTCATGTTAACATCACTCACGTTAACATCACTCACGTTAACATCACTCACGTTAACATCACTCACGTTAACATCACTCACATGAACATCACTCACGTTAACATCACTCACATTAACATCACTCACATTAACATCACTCACGTTAACATCACTCACATGAACATCACTCACGTTAACATCACTCATGTTAACATCACTCACGTTAACATCACTCACGTTAACATCACTCACGTTAACATCACTCACGTTAACATCACTCACGTTTACATCACTCACGTTAACATCACTCACGTTAACATCACTCACGTTAACATCACTCACATTAACATCACTCACGTTTACATCACTCACGTTAACATCACTCACGTTAACATCACTCACGTTAACATAACTCACGTTAACATCACTCACATTAACATCACTCACGTTAACATCACTCGCGTTAACATCACTCGCGTTAACATCACTCGCGTTAACATCACTCACGTTAACATCACTCGCATTTACATCACTCACATTAACATCACTCACATGAACATCACTCACGTTAACATCACTCATGTTAACATCACTCACGTTAACATCACTCACATGAACATCACTCACGTTAACATCACTCATGTTAACATCACTCACATTAACATCACTCACATTAACATCACTCACGTTAACATCACTCACGTTAACATCACTCACGTTAACATCACTCACATGAACATCACTCACGTTAACATCACTCATGTTAACATCACTCACATTAACATCACTCACATTAACATCACTCACGTTAACATCACTCACGTTAACATCACTCACATTAACATCACTCACGTTAACATCACTCGCGTTAACATCACTCACATTAACATCACTCACGTTAACATCACTCACATTAACATCACTCACATTAACATCACTCACGTTAACATCACTCGCGTTAACATCACTCACGTTAACATCACTCACGTTAACATCACTCACATTAACATCACTCACGTTAACATCAGCTGTGCCGCCCATTGCTACTGACACTTGGGATACGCCCATTTCAAACCTTTATAAACAGTTTGCCTTTAGAGGCTAACCCCCTTTTCCTGATGACGACCGCTTGTGTTGTGATGGAAACGTCGTAGTTTTTGTTATTTCCTTTGAATCTATCAACGTGACTTTACCGAAAGCACCAAACAATACGTTCTATCTACTGAAGGTATTCCACACGACTGTTATCACTCACTATACCAAGCATTATACCTGAATGTATACTCTTTGTGTGTAAGGCGAGATGCATTATACCTGAATGTATATTTACCCGAACAATATAAAAATATTGAAATCAGTCTCAACTCCGACACATTGAGTATATTACCAAGTCATGAATCTTTAAGGGTCTCCATGCTCTCAAGAGACCTGCACAGAATTAATCTCCATCCGTGGTCCTGATCCAGTGGTGGAAACTCTATATTAATGTGGCAGGGACCAGTTTTTCCTAAGGACCAGTGGCCGAGCCTGAAGAAGAGGTGCTCCTTTTACCAAACCCTCACTGGATGATAGTGACGAGGCTGAATCGGTCCTGCCCGAGATTCAAACTCAACCTCTTGTGGTCAGTGGCCTCACCTCTTAATGTGTGCTCACTTAGTAACTGTGCATTTGGGCCCAGAGTCACAGGTCGAGGAAACAGCCAAAGCACATTGCTCCATTGGCGGTGACATTCTTTTTCACGCTGTTTCCAAATATTTTGTAAGAATACATTTGCCGCATGTGGATTGGGCCCATACGGCATGCATCCTGCTTTTAATTACAGCAGCCCACGTGAACTGGCGCCGCTGTGTGCCGCTTGCCTTTTGCAGGGCTCACGGATGGCGTACTTCCACGCAGAGCTGCGTCTCTGGACGATGAAGAATTCCTTCGCCGTTAAAGGTATGGAGGAGCAGCGCAGCATGACTGGGTCCTGTCGTCTTCAACTGCCAGCTCGGAAAACGTCTGGGTGATACTCGCGATGTGTCACTGGGATTGCTCTTTGCGACGATACCAGCCACCCAAGTTCAATCTCTGGCCACGCTTCCAAACTCATTTAGCATTTTGCTTCTGCATCTAGTGTGGATCTCCAATAGGTGAGCAGCTCAGGGTTAAACTCAAAGTGAAACATTCTAGAATGTGAAATGTTTCAATTAGAATGTCGGTTTATGTGTGTGCGAGTGGGTATGTTTGAGTGTTGGAGTAGCGAGTTTAGGGAGTGGTGGTGCAGCGGTTTGTGCGCTGCGCTGCAATCCGGGCAACCCAACTATTGATAAGGTCAACAACAAGTGCTGTTCAGACTTGTTCGGACTCCCCCTCAGCTCATCCTAAATTGATTGCCTTGTCCGATGTGTTTAACATTAGATCTGTGGGGTCAAAGGTGGCCAAATATCCGTGGGGCTTGGCCTCACCTTTCCTTGTATTGCCTGCTGGCTTTAATCTTACAAACAGCACTTACCCCAACAGTCTTTTCACATGAGACAATGGACCTCTATGTAAAGTACAGGATGAGCTCCCATTCCATTTTAGTCTCAGTCACCTGATAATTTGCAGGAGTCGGCCATTGTGTGTCAGTCTCTGAAGCAAATTAAACAATCACCCATGACTGCTCAACAACCTGCTTGTGATCGTCTTCATGCCGCCCGGTCCCGGTAGCTCCCGTGCTGAGCTGGGTGAAGGGGGCCCTCTTGGGCCAACTTCCACAACACATTTGTGCGTGTGTGTATGAACTATACATCTCCCAGATTACAGGCATGTGCTTCCATATCTGTCCTCCCTAAACCACCGGCTTGGGCTCAAAGTGCGCAATTTGTTTGTGCAGCTGCCCGTGAAAGGGCTGAGACCATCAGACGCTCGCTGCGCACAGGAATCTTTCCGGGCGGAGAGGTCTGCATGGACGAGGGTGCTTTTCTCGGCAGTGTGTGTGTGTTACTGTCTGTGTGTGTATATTAATGTGATGGGCGGTGGCGCAACGGTTATAGCTCTGCGCTACGAACCCAAGTTCAATTTCCGCTCGCAGCCACCAACACCAGTGGTGATTATCTGAACCGGTCGTGTTCCCCTAGGTCGACTCAACCTCAAATGAGTATCTGGTGTGGTGTGTCGCCACTAGGGAGATAAAGACGGCCGGGTATGGTGCTGTCCACCCGCCCCCTCGTCTTCGGTTCCGTCCTCCTTAAGTGCTCCTAACAGCATTTGCCCCAACAGTCTGTGAAGGCTATACAGGGGATCTTTGTATTCATATATATACGTACTGTACGTAATTCATATTCCCATGGATGTGTGCAAGCCTGGCTTTGCGTTGGCATGACCGGGCGAACCCCCCAGCCGGCTCATTGTCGGTTTTGTTTTGTTGGGGTTTTTCCGTTTTCGATTCCCACAAGGGTGTCCCATGTTGCCGGCGCTTTGTTGCACCACCGATTGCCCCGCTCGCATTCCCACGTGCGGTAATTCTCCCGAAATATATAATTTAAAAAAAGGGCGGCATTGGACTGCATGGACGCCTGACCACAGCTGCCCGCCATGTAACGTTGAGGTGAACGCTTTGGATTGCAATTTAGATAAACCACTTCAATTTAGCTTGGCGCTTTTTTCTCCTTTCCCCATCTTTTCTCTTGCAAGGTACCGACATCGGCTGTTTCCACTATCACGAGAAGGGCGAAGCAGGTATGCGGATGTCTTTGGGTTTTTTTATGTTGTTACCGTGCAGTAACAATTTGTACTTTTTGAAAAGATTTATCAATAAATTGCTTGTTTTGTGAAATTCGTGCATCGTTTTGAGCCCTACACCCCCCACGTGGTTTTGCCGTGCAGTTCCCCCGACCAGCGATTTCCTCTATCTGGAGGACAAGCAGCGCTACGCCGAGAGTACGGTGGAATTCCTTCACGTTCCAACACCCACGTTGAGCGGGGGGGGGGGGGGGGGGACCACACTTACAAGAGAGAGCCTTTTTGAAACAGTTAACAGATTGTTCGAGAGTGCGTGATAAATCACAAGTTGAGGATTACAATTTAAAAAAACAAATTTCCATGCACAATCGGTCTTTTATTTTATGAGCGTCGCACCGAATGTGTGGCTTTTTTTAATTGGTGTTTTTTTATTGTTGGTTTATACCCGGAGCTAAGCTGAGCTGTCAGGCAAACTCCTGTGTCACCCAGGTCGCAACTACACGTGGGTTCCCAAGAACAAGCGGCCGGAGAAACTGCGTGAAACTCTCAAGGACCTGGAGGTGCAAACACATTCCAAAAAACCCAGAATGCACTGCGTGGCCACTGGGCCTGGCCTTTCCCCATTGCCTTAATTGCCCTCGCAATACGAGCTTCATCGGCAGGGAGAATGTCATAGGAAAGCATACAGATAGCTTAAAATAATTTATAAATATTCTTGTTTTGTGCGTGGGTGTTTAACTCCTCTGCTAAAGCCACTTCATAATACTGGAGTACTGGAGTACAAGTCGCACATTGTTTAAATTGTGGTTATTATACAGATGTAGCAACACCTATCCTTTGGTCTATGCAACAGCTGCACCACATTTATTAGACCCAGAATGGCCAATGTGTGTGAATATATGCCAAGCTGAACCAGGCACACGTGTGTACGTTTGTGTGTCGTTTAAGTGGCGTGTGTATGCAGACACATGCACGTTTGCGCGTGTTCGTTGTGTCTGTGTTAGGAGCTGCTGCAAGGCAGCCGCTGCGTGGACACGCGATGGAGGAGCAAGCATTGCTGCCAGGTGAGAGGTCGTGGCCATGGACAAATACAATGCTTGGAATATTTAGTCTCTTTCTCAAGTTATATGTTGTAGGGAACCCTTATGGAAAAATAAAACACCTCTTTGCATAGATTGGTTGGTAGTCTACTTGATGTGCTGTCTTTTATAGGAAATATATCCTTGCAACAAGATAACTTTTCATGACACCAATGTTAAAGCACAGGATGAAAACAAATTTTGGTCTGCATTTGAGGAGGATGGAGTGGGTGGCATTATGGTGCTTGGCACATTCCGCTTTGAACCCTGAGTTTGACTCCTGTCCATGGCTAACATCAGTAGTGTGTTACACCTGAACCCCCATTCACCAATCTGCACTTACCAGCGTGGGGAAGTATGGTCAAAGAACCTCATGACTGACACAACGAGAACATGTCTTCATTTGGCAGTACATTGATGAAGGACGAATTATTTGAATGTTCTTCTTTGATGTAAGACTTTTGTCTAAACCATGAATTGGCATATGTGTATTTTGTACAGTCATCAGTGATGGGCTGAGACCATCAACTCATCAAACTTGTGAACCCAGTTAATTACTGGTGGCTACTCGGAGTCAAACTCAGGATCTCAGCGGTGCCATCTTTGCCACCTCAACTTTTTTTTAGTTAAATCAGAAGGCAGTGTTTACTAATCCTGACTTTGGTATGGAATAGTGAAGGTGTGTGCACCTGCACACATCTGCCAGTGAGGTTGCTAAAATATCGTGGAAATTTGCCGATTCGATTAACCGGTTTTGAAAAATTTGCATGGCTGGGGGCAGCAGTGCACCCTAGGCAATTGACTGCTCCTCATTGTTGAACGTTGTCATGGGGCGGGGGAGGCGAGAGAATGAGAGGTGGGGATTGGAATGGGTTGGGAGGCTCCGACAGAACAATTGGCTCAATGGGCAGTCGTTGAACGAAGCAATGCATCATAATTCACGGGGGGGGGGGGGGGGGGGGGGGGGGGCGGTCGGTAACCTTTGCATATTCATGGGATTTCACGTCGTGTTATTAAAGCTCATTGTCTGTTAATCTTACGTGGGAGACTGCCTACTCGTGTGCCACTGCTCACATTCCAAACGGGGAGGTGTCATGAAAGGGAATTCAGAACAATTGCAGGGGCTCTTTAACACCCATTACTCCCTCCTGTTCAGTTCATTATTTTCCTAATGGTTTTATAAAGGTGTTCGTATTCTTCCCCTTGTTTGGCATTTCCATTACTTCTCATATAGCTCCTTTTCTTCACCATGCTGTTTGTGCATTCAGAGAGCTTGTTCTCTGTTTGCTTTTAATTTACTTTGCCCACACTCTAAGTGCACTGTTGACTAATTAGCTATATCATTCATTATTTATAGCCATGACATACATGTGATCATTTTCTTTATGTTGGTATTTAAATCTGCTGCTTAGACTCAGTCTACATATTGCTACCTAAGCTAGATGTTTCTCTAAACGGTGTTTTCTTTTGCCCGCAATTATATTCTGTGCTCCGTTTGGCAATATTGTCGCGTAAATTACATCACACCAGCAGAGGTGGCCGTGTGTCTTAAAGGTCGGAGCGCTTAGCTGACACCGCTGAGATCCTGGGTTGGAAAATCCAGGCAGCCAACCTGTAACCAGACTGGGTTCTCAAGTGCAGCGAGTTGATTGGCCCAACCTGATCACCAATGACTGCAAAAAATAAATCATCCCACGAAATATGATTCTGTACTACATTTTCCTAAATTCCACCGATGAGAACTAAACCTCGGTTTCACCGTCCATGCGAAGAACATCGCTCCCAGTGACAGTGGATGGGACAGTGGTACCCTGTACTGTATGGACCAGGGGTCACTTGAAGCGAACAATGGTGCAGGAGGGTCCCGTGGTCGTATGAGCCACCACCTGGCTGGCACAGCCTGGCACTAACTCGGGCACCGGCCGCTCGGGTCGCTGATGCTGCGCACAAACGGTTGTTGTGGAGGTGGCGACGACCCCCTCCGCCCGTCGCTTCCCCTTAGTGGTAACGGTGCCGGTGGCCGTGCTGAAGATGCTTCGTGAAGTCCGCTTGTCCCGCAGATGCTAATGAGCTCGGGCATGCTGGTGACGCTGTTCCTGGTCGGTGCCGACCTCGACCGGGTTGTGATTGACAAGGCCCTGGTGGGCCGCTTGCCTGCCGACACCATCTGGAACGGTACCACTCAGATCGGCAGCCATGTAACGACGCGTCAATTCATCCACGTGATAAATGTGTATGCTAATTATATGCTCATGATAAACCTAGGTTAATGTAGTGAATTAGTCTGTGCGGTTAGAAGATACTAGTGTGAAAAAGTTGATCTTTAATTGAATCGTGGGAAACATTGAATCGTTGAGGTAGGGGGTGGGGAGTTGCTACGTAACAAAATTTGTAGATTTCTTTTAAAGTAGTTAAAATGGTGGGCAACACAAAGTAGTGAATAAAACAAGTTGAGAGTGGAGATTCATCTCATTTGCCTTTAGATTACCCTTAGGGCTACTCTAGACTGACACCGGTTGGAATGAGCGCAGCAGTAGTGTCACCCTCAGTGACGGGCAACCAGGCCTTCTTTCCCCAGGTCCCTCCCGTGAACTTTTTCAGCCTTAGTAGATGCGTGCTTTTAACATTTGCCCCAAAACATGCCCAGACCATAGATATACAATAGCATTAGAAAGACCCTTTTGCATAATATTTCACATTGCAGCTGGTACGTTTCTCAATCGGCTCAAATGTTGATGAAGCATTTGCCAGTCAAAATATTGATCCTTTTTAGGTTTTTTTACTTGCTCAGCGGAACCAAGAGTTTTCACCTTTGCGTAGTGGCTGATGCGGTGTGAGACAGTAGCACGTGGGCCATGCACGTGTGTCGGTCCGCGCGTGCAGGTGTGCTGATGGATGCCTTCCTGCTGGCGACCTTCGTGGAGAAGGCCCGCCTGTCGTACGTGTCGCTTGGAGCAGCCGACCGCGACCGCAAGCAGGACAAGATCTCCACCGCCGACATCAAGGTGAGCGTGGCTGCATTACTACGACGGCGGCGGCGGCGGCAGCAGCGGCGGCGGCTCGGCAGTAACAGCAGATACGGGGAGGGACTGGGTTTTGGTGGACAGAGCAGACACTAGAGGAGATTGGATAGGTGCAGCAGACCTTATTAACAGCTGGGTTTATATAGCAGATAATAGAAAGAACAATGTGGACACAGTAGGAACCAGCAATAGCTGGGTGGTTACAGCAGGAATTAGGGACCGGATGGGTACATTATCAGCATCATCATCAGAACATTGTCCTTCCACTGCTGGATTTAGGCTTCCACATCCCAGCACCACCTCTCACCATCCTCCTCCGATGAAAAAATCCATTTCGACCCAGCGCATGGAATAATCCCATTGCTGCATGGCCACGGTGGTCATGCGAAATCGTAATTGCTGGATTTCATATGAATATGTTTTAGGAAGAAGTGGCAAATATGGACTCAAAAGTTACATTTTATACCCTCTTGTTCTTTTTTGCGCATTTTTTTAAGTGCTGAAAATATTGACTTTCATCCCTGCACAGTCAATAATCAAATTTGTGTGCAAGTAAAGTTATTTTAAATATTTATGAATGCAGAAAAATATTACGTGAACAGACAGGAATATCTTTTAAGAGTTTTTTGTTTGTTAGAAAATATTCACGCACTAAATTTCCACCCCGAGAAAGTGGTGTTGCGCCCCCAAGAAGTGACATGTATCCATTTCGAGACGATGGCCGCGGCTCTATAGGGTGTGCCTTCTGATTCCCCAGGCCACACACAAGGGGGTTTAATACCCACAGCACCGCTGGTATCGCGTCTTCAGCGAGTCACGCGCCACCCGGCTCGGCAAAGCGTCGCGCCCCAAATTGAGGTTTTGTGTCGCGGTGAAGGGGGGGGGTGTCCCAACACGCGCGTTTGATGCTTTTGTGTCTGTAAACAGAAACGGGGGAGTGCTCTTCCATCACGGAGCGGATGTGTTCCCACATTTCTTCCCTTACAAAATCAATTTTCTGCCTCTCTGTCACATGTCGTGGCCGCGGTCTGATGTGTCAAAACGCAATTCCGAACTCAATTACGAAAATTTCCTTCTGAATTTCGCTCGATTTCATGCCTTTTTTTCCTCTCTCTCTCTCCCACTCTCTTCTAATCCTAAAGAGCCGATTCTTTCTCAGTTTAGCCACCACCCTCCCCTACCCAACCCACCTCTACCCCCATCAGCGCAGCTACTCCCATCTTCTCTCCTCCTGTGTGCCGGGACGTGATCATAAGCGGTCGGTGTGGAAGGCGTCTCGGGCTTGGCTGCTCGTGCGCTGGAAGAGCACTTTAAATCGGCCGGCCATCGCATTTCACGCTTCTAAATGGTCCCTTTGGTGGTGTGGCTCTCCTAAGGCGCGTGTAAATCCCGCGGGGACAGGCGGCTGCCGCTTGGGTTTATTGATAGCGGCACCACGGCCAGAGCCGCCAAATTACTTTGAACGGCGATAAAAATATATATTAGTAAAGGAAGCGGGAGAGGAAGAGGGTGATTGAGAAAGAGAGACGAGGTGAATGGATGGAGAATGAGGAGAGGGAGCAACAGAGGGAAGATATTAAAACAGCAAGAGAGAGCCAGAGAAGAGAGTGGGGAAGAAACAGAAGAGAGTAAAAGGAGGTGAGGAAGGCTGGCAGAGTCAGAGAGAAAGAGAGAGGCGCGATGGAGCGAAGATGCTTAGTAGATTGAGATAAAATGTACGTAAGGATAGGGAGAAATAAAAAGATCAAGAGAGAAGAGACAGAGGGCAAGGAGGGGGAATGATAGCGGGAGGCAAAAAAATCCGAGTGCTTGATGTTTAAACGGTACCGTAACGCAAGCATAAAATAAGGCTGTGATCACGAGTCACTGTTGCCTTTTTTTAATATGGGGTCGCGACGGGGGGGCGCTCTTGATTATTTCATTTTTCCATCCGTTAAGCAAAAAGCACTGCCACACCCGGCGTTGAGCACGGCTGCGGTAACGGCGGCCACAGCAGCAGCGACGTCCCCCCCTCCCTTGTTGGGCCCTCTTTCCACTCAAAGTTTGGAGCCCTCCCCCGTGGGCCTCTCGGCCGCCATGAAATTGGCGCCGCGGAAAGGGTTAAAATGATCGTCTAATCCGCTGACAGCGCGTTGATTGCACGCGGCGACAGTGACGGCACAGGGCCGCAGGAGAGATTCGCAACGCCACTCACTCTCCCCTAAGACTCCTGCGACAGCCATGGATGCCGCTCGTTTGCATGGCCTTTGGAAATTGCCGTAAATATACACGGACCGCGGCGTGTGGTGTGCGCAAGCACTTTATGTCGCAGGGCCTTTCGTACGGGAGTATCTTGGTGAAATGCCTGAGTGCACAACTGGACGTGTTCTGGTTTTATATTTATAGCAGTTGCTGGGGTGGAATTAAAGAAAATCGAGCACGGGCGCTGATTAATTTCTACTTTGTCACAGTGGTTGTTGCTGTTAATTAATTACCGCTAATTTTTTTTGGGGGGGGTGGGGTGCAGGCGGGGGTGGAGGGGAGTAGTGGCGCAGCGAACTGCAGGGTTTAGTGCACTCTGCCATGAACCTGTCGACCTGTGTTCCATTGCCGGCCACGGCTAATATCAGTTGCTTGTGAGATCTGAACTGTTCCTAGGTTTCTCCTTCACCAACCCACAATAACCAGCGGGGTGATGTATGTTCAATAAATCATGAGAAGGCCTATCTCCAGCAATGGATTGACACAGGGTTACGTGTGTTTGTTATTTATTTAGTGGGGTAAGTGTGGGTAGGGTGGAGTGAAGCTGTAACACTCCAGCACTTTGCCAACGAGAAATTAATGTATTGCTTGCACCAGCTATAAAAAAGACCATTCACATGTGTGGGCTCATTGTAATGAAACTGGGTTCTCAACTGTATTGAGATCAATGTCTCAGCCTGGTCACCAATGATTGCAACAAAACCCTGTATATTACATTTACTTCTGCACTTAATTATCCTAAATTCCAGCTCTGAGAATTAAATATTGCAATCTGTAACACAGGGCATTTCACTGCTCTGCGAGAGATCCAAATGGATTCTCCTAGTAGCAAATTTGCTTAAAGTTGAGGTAAAGGCTAAAATTTGATTGTACAGTAGTCCCCGACTTACGATATTTCGATCTTACGATGGCGATAGCGATATGACAAAATTGTAAAACATTTTTTTATTTCGCGCGGCAGTCAAACGCAGCAGCGTACGAGGTACGATACTGTACTTTATCATCGCCATCCTCCTCTTCCGACAACTAAGTTAATGTAGCCATCAACAACCTAACATCGTTCAAGTATGCAGACGACGGACAGAATCTTGGTGAGTACAGTAGAATATGATACGTTACGATACGTTCAATGCATGTATGAAACATAGCTTTAGCGGTTTCATTTTAGGGTTACCACGATACGATACATACGTTCAATGCATGTTAAAAGTTTTTATAGCAGATAGGATTGTTTCCTGAAAAAAACTTTCATTGAAATTGCAGTTCATATAGGTAGGCTAAGAATTTACCTTGTTTTTTTACTTAAAATTTTACTGTGCAATACAGTATTGTAATTAATAAATACACACAGTATATAGTTTATACAGTACGGTACTGTAAATTGCTCTGTTTTGCTAAATTATCACCATTCTTTAAGACTCCTGGGTAGGCTTGGCCATTTTCGACTTACGATGGGGTCGTCGTAACGCATCTCCATCGTAAGTCGGGGACTACTTGTACATCTCGAGGATGCCAGATGCTCATCTAACTTGAGTTGCGTGCGCTGTGTAACGCAATCAATGCGGAAGGCACAGGCGAAGTATAACCGCTAAGGTGTAATAAATAATAATTAATGAGTGTTTCACAGATTACCTCTTTATTTAACAACATTATATTTGGATTTAGTCAATGTCAAAATCAGCTGCAGCCAGTTCAATGGCGTTGTCAAAAGAGTAGTTGTGCTTCAAACATGGGATTTGTACAGGATTTATTTAACCTACAAGTACTTAACCCATGCTTCCTATGCGGTCAGAGCCAGGTCAAGTATTTTCCTGCTCAAATGAGCGCATGGGAGCGCTCATCCACATTGGCAGCCCTAAATCACGGTGGAAATTTGACATTCCAACAATGAAAACCAGTCTACAGCCAAGTTACATGAAGGCCTCCTCCACACCGTGTCGGTCATGGGCGTTGTTTGACCATGCTTATGTTGTAATTACACTCATGGGGTAAACACAATTACATAAGCGAGAAATCATAATGATGAAAATTAGATGAAAATGTATGAAATCGAGTTATGACACCGATTTGTTTTAATCGCATCCTACGAGGATAAATCTTATACGTGCTTGCGCCACGTCTGTGGCCGTCTGGAATGCTCTTCCATCTGATATTAGAAAGCCACTGGAGCTATGCACTTTTAAATCTAAATTTAGAACTAATTTCTTTAGAACTGCTTTTTGTGTTTAGTTTGTTGTCCTTCCCCCACACCTCCAATTAGCGCGGTTGGTTACTTACAGTGCGAAAGAAATTCAACATACATACACACTGGTGGCAAATTTCAGTCGCTCAGTCTCCCCCTCTGCCAATGCCCGGCCCTTTCCTTCCCGTGCAATATGGAAGGTGTCGTCCGTGGACCTGCCAGCCTTTGCTCTCGGCGCTGCTGCCACCCCCCCGGGTGGGCCCTCGCGGCGCGTGGAGTGGCACGTGTGCGTCAACGCGGCACAGGACCTGGCGGCGTGCTGGTGGGCTGGAGGTGGCGGCGGCGGTGGCGCTGGGCCCGGCGTCCAGGGAGCGTGCCCCTGGTCACCCGTCGCCACCGACTGGGACCGCGCCAATCTCCTGCTGCTCTGCTGTGCCGCGGGCCGTCTAGAGGTCCGTCTGCCGCAGAGGCGGTGCCAGGGGCGGCACGAGTGGAATTTTTTTTATTTATTATTGATTTTAGACCAAATTATGGTGTTGGTGTCGTGGCCGTGAGACAAATTGTCTATTCGCAGAGCAGTACATCACCAAGTGTGTGTTAGAGAACAGTTTGTGGAAGTTGATGTCGTGGAATTATTCCCAAGATCCCTTAAAGTAAGCACTGTACTTGCCCGCGTGCCCAATTGTAGAGATTTTCTTTGCATGGAAATGGAAACAAAATTGTATTTGAGCTAAAACCGTCAACTTTTATATTTGAAAGCCCAGACTAATCTTGGGTAGAGGCCTGGATTCGAACTCAAAATCCCTGTGGCGTTGGCTCATTGCTGTCACGCCAGCATTTTACCTTCATGTAAGATTTGCAGCGTCCACCATGAGGATTTCTTATTTCCAATGGTCTTGTGCTATTCTACCCACTGCTACCAAATGAATTTTAAAATGTTCTTTAATATTAACTTCCCTATTACGTCCGGCCTAACTCACTCTGCCTCTCATAAAGTGTACAAGGTGCTTCAACCTTAATCTGCATGTACGTCCTGCAACAACCGCTTTTACCTTTGCAAATCTCCCCAAGACTAGGTACAAAATCATTTACCCTTCCCACCAAATTTTGGGTCACAATTATATTTAATTATAGATATTTTTTGTTTTATTGGCACTGTCTGATTAATACTGTCTAGTGAGTGTGTAGTTTCTCGTCTGAACCTGTCCAATTCTTTTTCCAACCGCTGGTCCAAAGAAATGCGACGCAAACAATCTCCAGTCAAGAGTAATCAATTTACTACACGCACGATTCAGTACATTTATTGTAAGCTTTACAAATTATTTTGATCAATTAATCCGTGAATAATTGCTAATACTGACTCATTTGACCTTGTAGCCAACCAGGGAATGCAGAGCATGTACCCGTAGCAGTGTCTCACTTGCTTCAAAGCCTACCACTGCACAACTGCCACCTGCTACGTATTGCTCCGCCGTTTTTCACACTGCTTGCCATCTTTTACGACACTGCGGTCTTTCTAATCGCACCGAGCTGAAATTTCCTGCCGAAACCAATGGCACTTGCCGGTTTATTTCATTTAGCTCGGGAGTTTTTGAGTCGATCGATGCGTGGGTGGTGGGTAAGTAATTCGAGGAAAAACAGACTCGCAACGCCGGATACATTAAAGTTGTGCATCAGCGATCCCGGCAGAGACTTGCTTTTGGGCCTTGTCTTCAGACCACAAATCGTGTTGCTTTCACATGTGACGCATTAACCCCCCCCCCGCCGAAAAAAACCTTTGCTTTCGCTTGGCAGTGACACCCAAGTAATCTCAGAAGACCACTCTATGTCTCGGCACAACATTTCCCAGTACATCCAGCATCAGCAACATCGGCGTACCGATGTGCACTTTGCCATGTCGATGACGGGTCACGTGGCCGCGGTGCACGCCTGCAGTCGGAGTGCATCGCGGGTGCCAGCGTATGGCACGGACTTTGAGGTTATGGCAGAACTGCGATAAGTGACAGCGAAGTTGTGCTCAATCCCAAGTAGTTAAGTTAATTTGAAAGACTTTGACTTGATCGCCTTTCAGCTGACGAGCTTCGTCAGCCGGCAAAATTCCTCCGCCCCGGTGGCTTTCATGCCACCGCGACATTAATTGGACTGTCAGCTGAGCTGAGCGCAAGCCCACCGCTCGCCTTTCATGACACGCTCAAGGCCTTCGTGTGCTGCACTAAAAGTTAAAAAACTTTGGAGGGTCTTTTTTATAGAAAATTTTAAAAACCACCAGAAGTTTTATACTCTGAAGGCGCAAGGAGGAGAAACTTTCTCAGCGTGCGAATGTGAAATGCTCGCCTAACGAACTTTTGGCGCTTAACAATTTTGCCGTCGTGTTTTGCTTTCTCCCCTTCACCGCTGACTGCGAGCGTCAAAAGCGATTCGTGTAATTAATGCTTGTCGTGGTGCGATTTAAAATGTGAAGCCTCAATTTCAGCCTCACTCTTATGGATGGAGTCCATTGAAAAATGGCTATTTTGAGGCCAATAGCAACCAACGTTGGATGAGTATGAAAGGGAAACTGTTTACGTGCACCCAGCATTGTGCCCTTAATAAACCGCGTTCAACAAAGGGTGACCAAAAGTGTTAACTAAAGCGCACCGTGTGGCACTGTCAAAAATCCCAAACTTAGCTCCAGCCAGGAGTAGGGGGAAGGATTCCAGAGTTATTTTCCGTGTGGCATTAATAGGTATTAAACATTAGGGTATAATCCCCCTTAATAAAAGCTTGTCCCGTGGAGGCACCCATGAATTACACCCCCGTCGGCCGGGTATTAATGCTGCTAATCTGTCCCACGAGGCACATTTAGCAGAGCTTCTGCTCTTAATGGCATTTGGGTTAAGTGCATCGCTGTAGGTCTAGAATGGAGATGGAAAAATATATATTTATATCAATCAATTAATAGCAGCCCCTTTGTGGCAAGCGACTTAAATTTTAGTCCTGTAGTTTTGGCGGCGGTGCGCCAGTCTAATTCCTCACTCAATGTCAATTTGTCATTCAGCACGGCATCTGCTTAATTAACACGAGAGTGCCCGGAGGAGGAGCTGAAGAAATGCTTGCCGGTCATGCCAGCCACTGTTAGGGAGGCTTTCACTTAGCAGCAGAGATTTGTGGCACGGCATAACCTGGGCATGCAAGGTGACGGAGAGAGGCGAGGGGAGCGAAGGGGGGGGGGGGACGAGCAGTGAAGACTTGACGGTGGGGGGGGGGGGGGGGGGTGCTTAGTTTTTTAATCAGCCCGGCACTACCTCAGGAGGGAGGGGGCGGCCTTTTCCTCTCCAAACAAAGTCTCCGTCTCCCATAACCCCACCGTGCTCTTCTCACCACCACTCACCTTGCGCCCTTGCCGACCGCTGTGATGGAGCCCCTGGGCATCCCTCCTGGCTCTTGGAAAATGTCATGAGAGGGGCCTATTTGTCAGGGTGGTCTTGGTGGTGGTGACGGTGGTGGTGGTGGTGACGGTGGTGGTGGTGACGATGGTGGTGGTGGTGACGGTGGTGACGGTGGTGGTGGTGACGGTGGTGGTGGTGACGGTGGTGGTGGTGACGGTGGTGGTGGTGATGGTGGTGACGGTGGTAGTGGTGGTGACGGTGGTGGTGGTGACGATGGTGGTGGTGACGGTGGTGGTGGTGGTGACGATGGTGGTGGTGGTGGTGACGGTGGTGGTGGTGACGGTGGTGGTGATGGTGGTGACGGTGGTGACGGTGGTGGTGGTGGTGGTGGTGACGGTGGTGGTGACGGTGGTGGTGGTGGTGACGGTGGTGGTGGCGGTGGTGGTGACGGTGGTGGTGGTGGTGGTGACGGGGGTGGTGGTGGTGACGGTGGTGGTGGTGGTGGTGGTGACGGTGGTGGTGGTGGTGGTGGTGACGATGGTGGTGGTGGTGGTGACGGTGGTGGTGACGGTGGTGGTGGTGACGATGGTGGTGGTGGTGACGGTGGTGGTGACGGTGGTGGTGGTGACGGTGACGGTGGTGGTGGTGACGGTGGTGGTGACGGTGGTGGTGACGGTGGTGGTGACGGTGGTGGTGACGGTGGTGGTGGTGGTGACGGTAGTGGTGGTGATGATGGTGGTGGTGACGGTGGTGGTGGTGACGGTGGTGACGGTGGTGGTGGCAGTAGTGGTGGTGGTGGTGACGGTGGTGGTGGTGGTGGTGACGGTGGTGGTGGTGTTGACGGTGGTGGTGGTGGTGACGGTGGTGGTGGCAGTAGTGGTAGTGGGCTCTGAGTGCAGAGAGATGGGGAGTCAGGAGCGTGAAGTGAATTAGGTTACCGGGTGAGAGCGTATCATTCCAGGAACATGCGGCAGCTTAAGTCTCTCGAGAAAATGAGCTCTGTGGCCTAATACCTCAATGGTTAAAGTTGAACTTGGGTCGCAAAGTGACGTGACGAATATGCATTGTATGCTGATAGAGTGAGGGAAAAAAGTATTTGATCCCCTACTGATTTTGTACGTTTGCCCACTGACAAAAAAATTATCAGTCTATCATTTTAATGGTAGGTTTATTTCAACAGTGAGAGACAGAATAACAACAACAAAAATCCAAAATTGTTATAAATTGATTTGCATTTTAATGAGGGAAATAAGTATTTGACCCCTCTGCAAAACATGACTTAGTACCTTGGTGGCAAAACCCTTGTTGGCAATCACAGAGGTCAGACGTTTCTTGTAGTTGGCCACCAGGTTTGCACACATCTCAGGAGAGATTTTGTCCCACTCCTCTTTGCAGATCTTCTCCAAGTCATTAAGGTTTCGAGGCTGACGTTTGGCAACCAGAACCTTCAGCTCCCTCCACAGATTTTCTATGGGATTAAGGTCTGGAGACTGGCTAGGCCACTCCAGGACCTTAATGTGCTTCTTCGTGAGCCACTCCTTTGTTCCCTTGGCCATGTGTTTTGGGTCATTGTCATGCTGGAATACCCATCCACGACCCATTTTCAATGCCCTGGCTAAGGGAAGGAGGTTCTCACCCAAGATTGGACGGTACATGGCCCCGTCCATCCTCCCTTTGATGCGGTGAAGTTGTCCTGTCCCCTTAGCAGAAAAACACCCCCAAAGTATAATGTTTCCACCTCCATGTTTGACGGTGGGGATGGTGTTCTTGGGGTCATAGGCAGCATTCCTCCTCCTCCAAACACGGCGAGTTGAGTTGATGCCAAAGAGCTCCATTTTGGTCTCATCTGACCACAACACTTTCACCCAGTTGTCCTCTGAATCATTCAGATGTTCATTGGCAAACTTCAGACGGGGATGTGTATGTGCTTTCTTGAGCAGGGGGACCTTGCGGGCGCTGCAGGATTTCAGTCCTTCACGGCGTAGTGTGTTACCAATTGTTTTCTTGGTGACTATGGTCCCAGCTGCCTTGAGATCATTGACAAGATCCTCCCGTATAGTTCTGGGCTGATTCCTCACCGTTCTCATGATCATTGCAACTCCACGAGGTGAGATCTTGCATGGAGCCCCAGGTCGAGGGAGATTGACAGTTCTTTTGTGTTTCTTCCATTTGCGAATAATCGCACTAACTGTTGTCACCTTCTCACCAAGCTGCTTGCCAATGGTCTTGTAGCCCATTTCAGCCTTGTGTATGTCTACAATCTTGTCCCTGACATCCTTGGATAGCTCTTTGGTCTTGGCCATGGTGGAGAGTTTGGAATCTGATTGATAGATTACTTCTGTGGACAGGTGTCTTTTATACAGGTAACAAGCTGAGATTAGGAGCACTCCCTTTAAGAGTGTGCTCCTAATCTCAGCTCGTTACCTGTATAAAAGACACCTGGGAGCCAGAAATCTTTCTGATTGAGAGGGGGTCAAATACTTATTTCCCTCATTTGAATGCAAATCAATTTATAACATTTTTGACATGCGTTTTTCTGGATTTTGTTGTTGTTATTCTGTCTCTAACTGTTCAAATAAACCTACCATTAAAATTATAGACTGATCATTTCTTTGTCAGTGAGCAAACGTACAAAATCAGTAGGGGATCAAATACTTTTTTCCCTCACTGTATATACACACACTAGACCCTGCCTGTGACATTTCATGGGGTAGTCTCCCTTGGACACCCAAGATCCCACATGACCCACGGCAAACCGCCAATCAAAATTTTCTATTAAGCCTTCACATTGCCATGCAAATATGCGCAATCAATTCACGTGATGGGGAATGCGTCCCGTCATGTGACAATGCAAGCGCACCGATGGACAGACAGGTAGACGAACACATGGGCAACTCAAGAAGATGCATAGCGGTGATGGCTGTGGTGCTGATGTCATTGTTGCTGGTGACGACGGCCCCAGGTGCTGAGCTGGGTGTGCACGGACGGGGAGCCCCTGGACGTGCGGTTCAGCTCGGGGCAACCGTACCAGCTGTGCACGGTGGAGCGGCCGTGGGGCAGCGCCACGGGGAGCGCCACGGCCGACGCGTGCCTCTACGAGTGCACGACCGCACGAGTCGGTACAGGTACTCGCCGCAGATGATCCGCCCCGCTCCACAACCGCCACCGTCAGTGGCGTAGCTCGTTTGGCATGGGCCCTGGTGCAACTGACAATACAGATATACAGACGTTCAGGATGTTAGTTGCTTCGCAGTGATCGTGCCTTTGATCCCGTGTTGCCACCCCGTGCCCAACGTCAGCGGGCGGAAGTGGCGGCTCGTGGCTGCGTCGCGTGTGCGTCACCACCGTGCCTTTGCCGGCGCCCGCCATCTCCTGCAGCTGGGGCCCCGGGGGTCAGCACCGCCTGCTGCTGGGCTGCGCCGACTCGCAGGTGTGGCGCGAGGCAGGCCGGGATGACGCGTTGCGCACGCCGGTACCGCGCGCAGGCGCCAGCGCGGGCGCACGGTGGTTCTCGCAAAATGCGTGGACAAGCACAAACGTGCGTCGATACTTGAACGCGCGGCCAGGTTGTTCCTAAGCAAGGCATGGTCATAAGCGCGTGCGCTCCTGCAATTCTACAAACGCAGCAGCAGGAGTTTCACACTTTGGGAGACAAATAAAAGGAGTGGGGTGAACTTAAACAGAGTAGGAGCCAACCCACCACAGGTGTCGGCATAAGAACACGTGTCAGCCACTCGGGTTATGTCAGGAAGCTCATGTCAGAGCACCAGGCCAGCGCTACTGAGTTTACAATTGAAATCCTGAATTACGAATTATTTAAGTAAATGTCCATGACAGTGAGGAAGGACTATGGCACATTTAATCCTTGATTGGTTAAAAACTATCCCAGGGGAACTCCTCATATCTTCAAATTCTGTTATCCACACTGCAGTCTCCCACATCGTCATGGAAATGGGGTAGGTCGACTTTTACTATAATTTCTGCAACTTGGTGGGGCTGCACTATGGTCGCCCACCAAGCGCGTTAACACAGAAACATTGTTGCGAGCGCAATGCCCACCGTCGAACTGAGCTATCCCGGTGCTGTCCTTACCGCCCCGGGTCGCGCCGCCGGCCCGCACAGGTGGTGCTGTACGACGCCAGCTGCCAGCTGAGCCTGGTGGCACAGGCGGAGGTGCGGCCGGAGATGGTGGCCTGGCACCCGGCGGGCGGCGTGGTGGCGGTGGCGAGCTGCGAGCCGGCGCGCGTGCAGTGCCTGGACGCGGCGCTCACCCCGCTGAGCGCGCAGGCCGCGGCCGAGGAGCCCGCGCCAGTCGTCGCCATCGACGTGAGTCCCGGGTCGCTTGCTCGCTCTCTCGCTCGTTCATCGCCAGACAAACACGACCATTCCAGACTGTACAACGTATAAAAATGCAATTCCCGATCCACAAATATGAAGGAGACATCACAGCGATACACTCCGCTGCTCCTGACGCGGTTATGCGGCTTGACCACCTAAATGTACATCATCCGTATGAAAGATGAAGATTTAGCCTCAAGCTGACATTAAATGGTGAATTTTGTGGCAATGTTGCTCTAACGGTGGCATTGTCCGTATTGCCTGCAACGTTATGGAGGTAAAAGGTGGACACGGCACTGCAACGCATTTATGGCGAAGAAACGCACCCTTCCCTGTTTATGGTTGTGAAAGTTAAATGAATTACAGCCATTCTCAATCTACCAATGGATGAAGGCCACTCCACGCCATACCAATCATGGAGGTTTATTTACCATAATGCGCCACGTGGGTCAATGTGGGGCTAGTGATGACGAGGTAGTGCAGGACCGGTTCCTATACCACTCGCCACTGATATTATCCATGGATTAATATATAATACAATTATAATTTTATTTATTTATTATTATTATTATGCACAAATCACAATGACGTTTGGGAAGTTGACTTGCGCTGCTCTTGAAGGTTGTTGGTGACAAATGTTGGGGCCCACACACGCCCCATGCTCCCCACACCCCCCGCATGCTCTCAAACAGTTGGATAAATGTCATAAAATATTTAATCCGCCAGGTGCGGCCGCCACTTGGATCGGTGCGGTAAACGACACCGTGGCCGTTCCAATCGGCACATCCGCCGAGCGTTGGCTGGACAGTTCACAAATAGCCCCTCGGTCGTTACCAAAGTAACGACCCCAGTGCAGAGTTGTAAACATCAGCACTGGGGAGGCAAAGGAGTCTGGCGTGGTATTGGCCACACCACCCCCTCGTGAGCTACATTAACCACAACAGATGCTCACTAACAGCCCTCGCTCATATAGTCTTTACGGCTAAACGGGAGGTCTGTGTGTGTCTTTGTATTTACGTGTGTGTGTGTGCACCAGCTGTCTCAGTGGGTGCGCTCGCAAGGTGGGCTAGCCCGCCTCGAGTGGGCTGTGGCCGCCCCGTCGGCCCACGCGCCCGGCCGCCCCGAGCCAGCCGACTCGCTGTTCGTGCTGTTCTGCGCCGGCCCGCTGGGCGTCCTCGACTTCAAACCAGGTAGACAGGCGGGGCGCGGCACTTAATATTTCATGGAAGGGCAGAGCAGGGAGAGTGCGGGGCGGAGGGGAATGGAATTACGACAGTAAACCGGTATGGTGGTGCGACGCCCGTGTTCCAAAATATTTCGGAGCGCGACATTATGGGACAACCCCATGGTACCGTGCGAGCCCAGTAGGGCGGTTGAGTGTACGATAGCTCAGAACTATCCACAAGCGCTAAAAGGATGAAAACTGTGGCCTTCTAAAATGGTACAGCAGGAAGGCGACTTGCCAACTTACTCACTGGTTTTATCCTTACTTGGTATCTTGAGTGCAATATAGAACTGTCGCTATATTATTGGAGATCATCAGTGTAACAAAGCCCATAAAATATAAAACACCATATTATTAAAACAAACACAATAATGTACAAGTGAAGACACACATTCTGCTTGTGAGCATGATTCCTTCCACTCTTTTGAGCTCTAACCCACTCACTCACCGAGAGATTCCATAAAACTGTGCCTGCGAGTGGCTTGAAATAAACAACAGTTTTAAATCCATGTGTGTGTGGTATTAATGTGCATCACGCCATGATGTTCATGCTTCCAGGTTCCCAAGCCACAACACACAGACCGCAGCGCACAGGCCACGCCGCCACTAAGAGACGGGCAGATCACGACTTTAATTGGAAACGATCCCTTTTAATTGTCCGACGCTGCTTTTTTGTATACTTCAGTTTTTTCAGCCACTCCGGCGCCCCCCTTTCCTCCCACTCTCCAACTCTCCCACTCTACCCTCTCCTGCATTTCCTTGAAGGTATTGAGCAGTTTGAAGGCAATTAGCCTTGCCCTTAGAAATCTGCGGAAGCAAATTACTACGATTCGAATAACATTTGACAAGGGGGATCTCGGTATCATCCTGTGCTCTATTTCAACCTACTAGCCTTTTGCCCGTCCAAGGACGGGTGTATTGCGGTTAATCTGAAACTTGCAAGCGGAAAGCAGACCGCGACGTGATGTTCATTGCATCAATGCGCGTGTAATTTGTAAGGGCGCGGTGACACAGACTTATTTAATTTTAAGGTTATAATCCCTTGTTCATCATGACGTCCTTTTTACTTCGATGTCTCAACAGCGTTACGGAGATCACGTGACGTGAGGGTTCTGCCTTTGTAGTGAGGGTTGTCAGTTGACGCCGAGGAGGGGGGAGGAGGCGCCTCGGCCCCCCATGTGGAGTGACGTCACCCGCTAATTATTATGAATGGGGGGGGGGGGGGGGTGTCCATTTGGAGAACATCACCTTATAATGATTATTAACGAGGGGGGCTGTTCGATGTGGAGTGACGTCACCTGCTCATGATCATTAATGAGGTGAGCTTTGGCCCCGTGTTGCCACGAACGTGCCACTCGGCGCGGTTACACGTCTTTATTTAGCGCAAGTGGCCGGTGACGTGCACCGTGCGATCACGTCCCATCGGTTGGCACGGGCGGCTTCAGGGGCTGCGCCGAAAAACCCTCTCTTCATTTCCCCCGCACCCCCGAGTCGACATTGAACCCCGCTGCGTGCAACGTATATTCCAGTGTTATTATTTCCTCCCCGTGCCTTTGAAGTTTAACGATCCGCGATAACGCACACGCAAAGGGGAGAGAAGCGAAGGGGTAGGAACGGTTTCATGCCGAAGGCAGATGGCGATTCCGCAGATTTCTATTGACCCTGGCAATTAGCCCAATCCCAGCACGTGCTGACAGGACGAGAGCCCGCCGTGCCACCGGCCGCCCTAATTGGGGTGGGTGTCTCGCCTTTGTGCTCTGTCCCTTTTGGATGAGGCCACCCGTTAAATGAGCAGCGGGGCGAGGAATCTTAATTGTGCGACTCTCGGAGGGGGCCCGGAATAAGACGCACCGTGCCCCGCCACCCAGGCACCGTGGGGGGGGGGTGGGGGGGGCGGCCAGCCACTCTCTTGAGTGCGGGGGGGGGGGGGGATGGCCACGACTTCTCGTGATCGCTTTGTGCCGGCGCTCGCTTTTGTCCGTTTTTGAAGAGCGCATTGCGAAAAGGGCCCCCGCGCGTGCGTTCGCTTCGCACACAGGGTTTACTCAAGTCGCGCTGCGAGCCCCCCCCCGCCCCCCTCGCTCCCCCACGCCACCCCCACTCCGGCTCGTTTCATCGCGTTGTGATTGACGGTGGAGCTCCGTGCCGTTTTGTCCGACGTTTTAACAAGAGGGGACGGGGGAGGGGGCGGATGAAGTGCGCCGCCCAGCAATGCGCCCGCAGTCTCGCCGAGCTTTTGTCGGGCTGCCGCGCTCCAGAGATTCGCCCTGCGCATTCCCCTGAACTTTGACCCTAATGAACTCGCCGCTGCCCGGTGCCTGCCCCCACGCCCTATCCCTTACGGCGCGCCACCCTGTTCATCGCTTACTCGTTCTCTACGTTTTAGGGAACCTCTTCCCCCGCCCCGATCTCGCTTTCGGCGTCGCGTCCTCCCACGCGTGCCCCACCCCCCCGCCCCCGACCGGCCCTCGCCGCCACCATCCCTTCCTCCTCACCCGACTAAGTGCCGCCGCCCCCCTCTCGCTCCCGCGGCCGTCCCTCTGCGCGCCTCGCCAGGCGTGCTGAGCGGCGGGCGGCTGGGCGTGGCGGAGCTGCTGCACGAGCACCTACGTCGGGGCCGCGCCGGCGCCGCCGTGGGCCTGCTGGCCAGCCTCAGCTGGGACTCGCACGGGCCCGAGTGCCTCGCAGGCCTCACCGCCGTCGCGGACCGCCTCCTGCGGCAGCCGCTCACCCCCGACGCGGAAGGTGGGCGGCGCCTACGGCGCGATGGGTTCGCGCGTCCGACCGTCGTCGCGCTCCCCCGTGCTCACGTCGCAAACGCTTTTCACCGTTTGGTGTGTGTCACACACGCAAGGGCGTTCACTCACCTTTTGTACTTTGACTCACCAGTTGATCAAGATAACATTCAATTTGGGCAAAATAATATCATTTCATTCTAGTCAATCGTGTTTTTCACTGTCAAATCATTACTATTTCAGAGTGGCCCTGCTCCTGGGATAATTTGCAGAATTTCAAAAATTTCCGGCCAATGCAGCAGTTAACGCGCTGCGCTATGAACCTGGCAACCCGATATCGATTCCCGCTCACGGCCAACACCAATGACAATTATCTGAACCGGTCCTGGGCCTCCTCTAGGTCGACCCAGCTTCAAATGAATACGTGGTGCGGTGTATAAACATCACCACTGGGGAGACAAAGGCGGTTGGGCGTGGTGCTGGCCACCCACCCCCTCGTGTGCCGTGTCGATCCTTCATAGTTGCTACTCGCTAACAGCGCTTGCCCCAACGGTCTGTTTAGGCGATACGGGCCACCTTTGTCTTTGTTCCGTGTCAGCCCTGCTGGAGTCGGCACTCGCCACGTTCTACGCCCCACGGCGCGCTGTGGCCGACTCGACGGTACTGGCGTACCGCGACGCGCTCTGCCACTACGCACGCCGCTTCTTCCACCACCTGCTCAGGTGACGACCCCACCACGCCTTCCGGTGAAGTTCGCCACCGCACCATTCGCCACGGGGACGGGACGCCTCGCGATGGAGCTCCCCGGTCACCCGCGAGTCACCGAGTCGCAGTTACGGAACGAGCGGCGCTTACGGATCAACGGCGATTGCGTACCGAGCGATTTACGAGTGACCGGCCGCCGTGTGTCTGCTGCAGGTACCAGCAGTTTGAGAAGGCCTTCCTGCTCGCCATCGACATCGGCGCGCGGGACCTGTTCATGGTGAGGGTGGCGCGAGGAGGCTCAACGGGGGGGGGTGTCCATATGGGGGGCACCGAGCCGGCGTCGCCGGGACGATGCCGCCGGGTTCATTTCTCATGTTCCGTCTTGAATTTAAAAGAATTCTCACGTGCGATGAGTTTGCCGATTTCAACCTGGGGCATCAGTGGAGCCATGAAAAATAACGCTTAAATCCTTGTTCGTGGTTTGTAATGGTAATAATATCGATTTCAAGCCTGCTCAGCGCAGGCCTGAAATCCTATAGTTAAAAGTGGCCAGCAACAGATAGCACTGCTTGCAGTAGAGCAGATACAAACTCACGCATTTTTAAAAAATTCAGCAACGTCACACGAATGTGGAAAAAGGGACGGAAAGGAGTTCCATAGTCGGGGAGCACAAAGGAGGAGATCTGTTCCATCCTGCAACTTGTTCGTTGAGCCCAGGATAATAATCTGAATCTCTTCCGCAAGTCGTGAGCTCTCGCTAAGGTTGGGTAGAATCGTACATTCCGGCGACACGTTGGGGAAGCACGTCAGTGCGTCCCGCTTACATGGGGTCACGCTGCTGACTTTCTGGATTTCTAGTGGGCTTCCCTGACTTCTAACCCTCAACTCGAAATACGCGCCGTCCACTTAACGGCGGACGTTAAAGGTGCCGTGACGTCGGTCACAGGACCGGGCCGTTGTGTGCCGGCGCCATGGTCCAAATGTCAAACATTTCCTGCAAATTATTCTATTGAAATACACAGGAATCATCGCTTGCTACTGCGAAAAACGTGAGGCTTCCCTGAGTAAACAAGCGTAATGCTAAATATAACTCTTAGCTTAACTCCTAAACACGTACCCTGCACCGTATTCCTCACCCCTTACCGAAGCATTAACCCGTAACCCTGTAGGCCCGACCGCCTCCCCTCTGTCCCTGCAGTCCGATGCGTTAACCCGGTCGCTTGCGCCACCCCGTCCCCCAGGACATCCACTTTGCAGCGGCGGCGCGGGGCGAGCTCGCGCTGGCGGCGGTGGCGAGGAGGAAGGCGGACGAGGTGGACGCAGACAGCATCACTGCCGGCGTCGGTTAGTCCACCCGCACGACCGCCCCCACGCACCTCCCCACCCCGGACCCGCTAGCGCCACGCAGCGAATGTGCAGGATCGCCCACGTAACTAGTTCTGTACCTGACACGCGGACAACAAACTAATTGTGATGTCACGACGATGTCATGGAGCGCTTCATTAGGGGCGGGCATTATAAAAAAGTGGAAATTCGATTTGAGCCTTTCAGGCAGCTTATAAAACAGCACATGTTTGTAAATAACAGCTTCTATTGAAGGTTATAGATACTGCTTCCATAAACAGGGTTTACATAAAAATGATAGATATTCATACCGTCAATCCATGATTTACGGACCTTGTGCATATCTGAGTAGAGGACCGGAGTAGAGTACTTGAGTGCCATGCGGGCCTAAGTCAGAGGTTCCCAGCCGGCGGTGGTCTCGGCATCGACCACCACTGGCTGGGTGCTAGTGAAGGTCCTGCCCCTTACTCTGTGAACCAGAGGTGACTTGAAGGGATTTCAGAGGTAACTCTGTGATATCCGCTTCAGTGGACCATTCTGTAACACTGCTCTGTGAGGTCCAAATAGATACTTTATGACATGATGCCGATAGCACAATCGGAATACAACTGTAGAAAATTGACAAAAATGTTCATTAAAATCAGGTGAATATAATCATCAAATATCCCCCGTACTAACTTGCTCGCTGGCCTGCTGCCACAGAGACTGTGGACCTGCTGGACAGGGCGGTGTGTGACGAGACGGGCCGCGCACTGCCAGCGCCACCGAGCGGCCGCGTGGAGCTTCCCGGGCTGACCAGGGCGGTTGCCGCGGAGAGGAGCCAGGCGGGACCTCGCCGCTACGACACGGGCGGCAGCCTGCGCAGCGGCGGCGGCGGCGGTGGCAGCGCCTCCGGCAAACACGGCCTGGAGCCGGCGGAGCCCAGCGTGAGGTGGGGAAGGAGACAGAGAATGGCGCCGCGTCGCAGTCGCCACGCTGGCAGACGGCACGGTTTCGGTTATCGCTTAGCCGGAAATGTTTGTCGCCCCCGCTCGCGCCCAGGCCCGTGGGGCGGAAGCTGGCGGCCGAGCTGTCGTGCGAGCCGTGCCTCCAGGCGTACGCCGCCGCTCTGCTGGAGGACCCCGCCGCGTGGGCACGTGCAGGTACGACCGCTCGCGGCCACGCTGTTGCTGCACGGTTTCTGGACCCCTGCCACTCCTCCTGCGATCCGCCTTCTCGCCATCGACACTTTTTGTTTCGTCGTGTGCCAATGAAGCCGCTGCACACTACATGCGCCCTGGTGATTGCCAATTGCGGAAAGCTGTACCGTGGGGGGGCGCGAGGACTGGACTTGAAGGAGGCCGATGTGGAAGAGACGCGCGGTTACGAGAGACTCGCAGGGAATGTAAAGTCACAGATGGTAGAGACACACGGGTATAAGTTTCATGCAGTTAAGGCTGCATGTTGTGAGTGACCGAAGGCCGTGCACAGATATAGTTCCAACACCAGCACACACTGGCCTACTCTTTCAAACATGTCATAGGCTCTTTAAGTCCGCTTTACCGCTGACGGACGACAGGCTTTGGTGTCGCCACAAGGCGTTACCGATATTTGAACTGTCACACCGTTGCAATCTACCATTTCGGTGGCGAATACACACGCCACTAGGCTACGCAGCCACCATCAACAGAACATCATAAACAACAAACACTGATACAAGTGTAATCCCGGGAGATTAAAACAAATTGTATGACAAATCTGTCCATTATTTTCCGTGTGTGAGCGCGTGTTTATATGTGTTCCTTGTTTGGCTAAGATCCCTCATTCCCCCTGTGGATACGAGAGAGGAGAGTAACTCGTAATCTTCCTCCCGCAGGAACGGCTGGCGTGGACGGGCAGGAGTTGGGATCAGAGGTGAGCGTGGTGAGCAAGCGCAGTGAGCATGCCCCGGCTCGAGTGGGACGTGCGGTCGCGCCCGCAGACGTACGGCTCGCGCGTCTGCAGCGGGATTACACCGTCACGCGTCGTCACTAATGTAGACTCGAATAGCCCGTTTCGTGGCACATCCAATTATGTGGGCGCGCTAACTTACTGTAATTAATAGTCCTAGCGTGATCAATTCTGCACATTTTAAGTGCTTAAGTGTCTCACCTGGAGTAGTTTAATGGCAGAGACAGTCCCGTCGGTAATAGTCAGCCAGGGGCTTAAAAGCTCGTTAAAGTCGTCATTTTTGCGCTCCCCATTATTTTTAGTTCCTCCGATTGCTCGCTTGACGTCGTCGCTTGCGTTGTTAAGCGGGGCCGCGGAGGGGCGAGGGGGCAGATACCCGGCAGTTGTTTTGCACGTCACGTGGTAACATTGCAATGTTTTTAAAAAGAGCATTGACATAAGCTTCTGTATAAGTTTTAAGATCTCATTTCATCTGCCCCATGCATTGACCCACCGTTTTGATCGCTGGTAATGTATTTGAGGATTTAAAATGTGGAAATAAAACGGTTGACATTCATGTTTTTTTAAACAAGAGGAAAATAAAAAAAAATGGACCAAGTAAACCCGTAGCTGGGAGCGACATTGATTTCCCTGGGGAGGGACCGGCGTGGCCAGGGATTAACACGCCGCCTTCTGTGTCTCCACGCCGCGCAACAGGGAGGCCACGCCATGGGGACCCTGCAGGTGGTGCACCTGGGCCTCGTCTGAGCCACGTCTGGGCCCCTCCGGACCGAGACCCGAGTCGGACGCGGAACAAAACCCGGAGCAGGCCCGGAACAATATCCGAACGAGACCTACGCACAGACACCAGGCTGGACCAATGCTGGACCCAGTCATGAAACATTTTGTTTGGCTTTGGACTCGAACCCCGAGGTGGTCTTGTTTTCCAGAACTCGGAATGTCTGCAAGCGCTCGTCTACACAGCGTCATGACACGTGCACCACAACACTGCAGCACCGCGCCACGTGGAGGCTGTGTCTTGTCCGGCATCATCGGCCTTTTACTGCAATGTGTACGTAAATATTCTCAGAGCGTGCGGGTACCCCACACATAAGCACACAGCCTCCTCTGTAGTGACATCTGTGCACGAAGAGTGGATACATTCCATGTGTGAGAAACGATTTACATTTGCCTCTAAATACATGGGATGGCGTTTCATGGCTTCAGCCCGGCTGAGGAAAGCAGACACGAGCGGGCCTAGGGTTTAGCAAATAAATGTGAAAATATAACGGGCGGAGTTGTGCGTGGCATTACAATGACACAAAGCGCGCAAGCTTCCAGCATCGGTCCACCTCTAACGGGCTCGCTGGGTCCGGAGAGACTGCAGGATTAGCGGTGGGCATTCGTCTTGCAGACAGATAGAGTAAGCTCATGGAGAGGAGCAGAGAGGTAAGAGCAAGGATGAGAAAGGAGGAGCAGAGATGAGCAAGGAGAAGCAAGCTGGAACATAAATAAATGGCGAGGAGCAAACGGGCAGGAATGGGCTGATGAGCAGAAGTGAAAATAGATGAGCATGGATGATCTGGGGAGGACCGGGAATGAGCGGGGAACCAGGGAGGAGCAAAGAGGAGCAGGAGGGAGCAGAGAGGCAGAAGGGAAGAAGGAAAGACAAGGAGTGATCTCATTCCGGGGGAACCAGAAGGTAAGAAACGAGGAGCAGGGAAGAGAGAGAGCCCTGTTGTGCAATATTTGAGAAATCAAAGTATTTTTTTTACTCCATTTTTGTAAGCGACCTTTCGTATTATTTTATACGTGCACGTGTACATTTCAAGCTGTGTGAGCTGTCATTGCAACGTTGTACTGTACTGTAATTGTCAGGGATTCTAGTTCTCATTGCGTCCTCATTCGGCCCGTGACGCGTGGGCTCGCGTGCGCTCCCGAGCACGCGCGGGATTGCGTCTCGCTGTCCATTATGCACGGATGAATCACAAAACCAGGCCTCTCCGTGGCTCACGCAAAGTCCTTATTTACACATGCAGTCTTTACCACGTGCACTAGCCCAGTGGCTCATGCACTGCGCACAGAATACTCGTCTACGAGTCCATTTAAAACCGCCCTCCGGTTTGTACGGTTTGCGCAACTTACAGCCTACTTCATTGACTCGCTGTTATCCAAAAAAAGTGAGCATCGCATCTGTTCAACCGATGTGGAAGTACAGCCAACGAGCGCGGGACTCGGGGCCGCCTGGCCACGGCGCCTGGCGATTGCGTGTGCCGTGCGCGTCGCCTCGTGCGTGCAGCGAGAGGGGCTTAACGAACGACGCGTGTCAACCACCCGGAGCAGAATGAAGCCGGTCCGGACAGAATATCCGAAACGCCGCCTTCACCCTGGCTGACCCAAACGCACTTGTCGCTCTATGTATGAATTTATGTGGCGTGTGTACCCATGCGTAAACTCTTGTGTCCGTGTGTGTGGCTTTGTGGTAAATACAGTTTTTTGTCAACAAGTGCAATCCAATTCATTTTTTTTTCTTCTCAACTGGAGCACCGTCGATGTGACTTCCATTTGTGTCCAAGAGAGAGCCCAGTGCGACAGTCTCCTTCCCGGCCCGCTGCGTGTGGCGCAGTTTGGCGTAAGCCTGAGCAGACATTGCAGTTGCGCCCTCTCCGCAACCGGCGCTCACGAACAACTCCGGTGACCTGTGCACGCTCGTCATTGAATTCTGGCCAAACGCCGCACCATAAGTAAATCGGATTTCAATATGACCTGGGCATGCACCTATGTTGACTCGGCCTAAAAGGGGGGTAGCTAGCAGAGCGTGAGAAAGCGAATGGCCACATCGACATTGCGCTGGCGTCACCACCCCACCGAGGGCCGTTTCCAGATTTAATAGGCGCTCGCTAACAACCCTGGCGACGGCGGTCTGTCAGGCTCAGCTGGTGCTCTTTGTACGTGTGTTGCTGTGTGGGTGTGTTGAGATGTTCTTGCGTCGAGAATGTACATTGGGCTTGCTGTTGAAGATATACACAAACATCATAAAGGTCGCGTTGTGACTTACGAGTGGCTGTTGGCGTGTCGTTCCGTTCGTGCAGAACCAACCTCCCTCCCCGTGTTCATTACCTAAACTCGCTGTGAGTTAGCCAGGTGGGAGCTCATTGCAAGGCATTGTTTTGTTGGCATGGGCTCTCTGGGAAACCGCGTTGTGATTATTAATGGAAAGTGTTGGTACCGTTCCACGGAGCGAAGGATGGAGCGTGCCAGAGAGAACGCCCATTGAGGAGATGGAGCGATAAGATTAGTTCATGTGCAGGAATCGAGTGAGTGTTGCATCACGTGACCGAGACGGATGACGACGGTTTAGGGAGGCCTGCGGCCAGCAGTGGATCGACCATGGCTGATGATCACCGTCAACTGCTGGACATATTCCGTGTTACCTCTTCACGATCCGCCCACTCGTCTTCTGATTCTTCTGGTTTCAGGGTCACGATTCGAATTGAACGTCGATTATTTTTGATAACATTGTGAATGCAGCATGTCTAGTGAATACATGCATGAGTAAGTTGGGTTAAGCAATTAAAGTATACGAATGTTCTTGCAAAATTCGATCCACGTATCATGAGTTTAACAATCGTGATGGCTGAATTGTATCGTTGCACCCATACTTGGGAGGACATTTTTCAAACATGTCATGCATGGATCATCATCGAAAAGTTAATACACGCTGCAGTATTAATCAGGGCGGCCGCTCGAATCGAACCGTGGACCTCTGCAACAATCGGCGAGCCCGCCAGCGACGGACCACGTCACTGCCACAGTACGGCGAGTCTCCCACCCAGCAGCGGCTTGACGCAAGGGGCTGCTCAGTGGACAATGTTCGTCCCATCAACGATCCCGGGGCCCTCTGCCCGCGGGCAGTGTGGGATGGTGCAACTCCACCACTGGCTCGGCGAGGGTCCCCGCCAATGGTGATGGGCGCCACCCGTTGCTCAAGAGAGGCGTGCGCGGTGGAGGCGCGGCCCGGGGCTGGCGTGGTGCCGGATGGCGCGACTCCCTTGCGGGATTGGCACCTCGGCTCCTCGTGTCACGACCACGTTTCTGAGCCCCCCCCCCCCCTTTCTTGGCACGACTCCTTTAGCCATCAGCCAGCCGCGAGCCACCACAAGTGCCAGCCTGCCCCTCCAGGGGATGTGGGCAAGAGGCTGGTGGCGTGCCAGGGGGGTATAAACGTGCTCATTAAATGGAACGAAATATATTTTTATATGGATGCCTGCGCGCGTGCGTGTGGCTGTGGGGGAGTGAAGGGGAGGGGAAACAAGTGTGGTGTCACTTTAAAAAAGAGAACCGGATTGATTCCAGCTGAGCGTGTTCTACGCAGAGCGTTGCAGTGCAATGGGCAATCGTCGTCGTCGTCTTCCCACCTCGGCTTTCGACCAGACACCTTTAAAGCATTACACCCCAACATACTATTCAATTAGTTGCGAGTGAAATTCAACACAAGGCGTCCGTGTAATAATACAGTGAGGGAAAAAAGTAGTTGATCCCCTGCTGATTTTGTACGATTGCCCACTGACAAAGAAATGATCAGTCTATAATTTTAATGGTAGGTTTATTTGAACAGTGAGAGACAGAATAACAACAACAAAATCCAGAAAAACGCAATGTTATAAATTGATTTGCATTTCAATGAGGGAAATAAGGGAGTGCTCCTAATCTCAGCTTGTTACCTGTATAAAAGACACCTGTCCACAGAAGCAATCAATCAATCAGATTCCAAACTCTCCACCATGGCCAAGACCAAAGAGCTCTCCAAGGATGTCAGGGACAAGATTGTAGACCTACACAAGGCTGGAATGGGCTACAAGAGCATTGCCAAGCAGCTTGGTGAGAAGGTGACAACAGTTGGTGCGATTATTCGCAAATGGAAAAAAAACACAAAAGAACTGTCAATCTTTTATGAGACCTCCTTTGCCAGAAACAAGATATAGGAATAGGTTTTACCCTTTTAACTGGCACAAAAACTGACACCTTTATTCAAGGCATCATGTTTGCAATAACCACAACACAAGCAGTCAAAATGCAAACAAAAAGACAACTCTGATAATAATATGCACTGTCCTTGAATTTGATTGGTCCACACCCGAGACAGCTTTTCTTAGAGCCTAGTCTTCTGGTCCAACACCAATGGAGACTAGGCTCTAAGAAAAGCTGTCTCGGGTGTGGACCAATCAAATTCAAGGACAGTGCATATTATTATCAGAGTTGTCTTTTTTGTTTGCATTTTGACTGCTTGTGTTGTGGTTATTGCAAACATGATGCCTTGAATAAAGGTGTCAGTTTTTGTGCCAGTTAAAAGGGTAAAACCTATTCCTATAACTGTCAATCTCCCTCGGCCTGGGGCTTCATGCAAGATCTGTTGTGGTCAGATGAGACCAACTCAACTCGCCGTGTTTGGAGGAGGAATGCTGCCTATGACCCCAAGAACACCATCCCCACCGTCAAACATGGAGGTGGAAACATGCTTTGGGGGTGTTTTTCTGCTAAGGGGACAGGACAACTTCACCGCATCAAAGGGACGATGGACGAGGCAATGTACCGTCAAATCTTGGGTGAGAACCTCCTTCCCTCAGCCAGGGCATTGAAAATAGGTCGTGGATGGGTATTCCAGCATGACAATGACCCAAAACACACGGCCAAGGCAACAAAGGAGTGGCTCAAGAAAAAGCACATTAAGGTCCTTGAGTGGCCTAGCCAGTCTCCAGACCTTAATCCCATAGAAAAGCTGTGGAGGGAGCTGAAGGTTCGAGTTGCCAAACGTCAGCCTCGAAACCTTAATGACTTGGGGAAGATCTGCAAAGAGGAGTGGGACAAAATCCCTTCTGAGATGTGTGCAAACCTGGTGGCCAACTACAAGAAACGTCTGACCTCTGTGATTGCCAACAAGGGTTTTGCCACCAAGTACTAAGTCATGTTTTGCAGAGGGTACAAATACTTATTTCTCTCATTAAAATGGAAATCAATTTATAACATTTTTGACATGCGTTTTTCTGGATTTTGTTGTTGTTATTCTGTCTCTCACTGTTCAAATAAACCAACCATTAAAATTATAGACTGATCATTTCTTTGTCAGTGGGCAAACGTACAAAATCAGCAGGGGATCAAATACTTTTTCCCCTCACTGTATAATGTTGTGTAGCTGAGCTCTCTCTCTGTTCCTTTGTTCACGGCCCAGTGTCAGTCCACTGCTGGATGGCGGCCTCTTAGTTTGACCATACTTCACCACGCCGGTAACTTCCACACGAGTTCGATTCCCGCTCACTGCCAACACCAGTGACGATTATCTGAACCCGAGTTCCATAGTGCGCTGTGTATTAAAAGTGAGTTCTAGTGCGCTGTGTATTAACAGTGAGTTCCATAGTGCGGTGTGTATTAAAAGTGAGTTCTAGTGCGGTGTGTATTAAAAGTGAGTTCCATAGTGCGGTGTGTATTAACAGTGAGTTCCATAGTGCGGTGTGTTTTAAAAGTGAGTTCCAGTGCGGTGTGTATTAAAAGTGAGTTCTAGTGCGCTGTGTATTAACAGTGAGTTCCATAGTGCAGTGTGTATTAAAAGTGAGTTCTAGTGCGGTGTGTATTAAAAGTGAGTTCCATAGTGCGGTGTGTTTTAAAAGTGAGTTCCATAGTGCGGTGTGTTTTAAAAGTGAGTTCTAGTGAGGTGTGTATTAAAAGTGAGTTCCATAGTGCGGTGTGTATTAAAAGTGAGTTCCATAGTGCGGTGTGTATTAAAAGTGAGTTCTAGTGAGGTGTGTATTAAAAGTGAGTTCCATAGTGCGGTGTGTATTAAAAGTGAGTTCCATAGTGCGGTGTGTATTAAAAGTGAGTTCCATAGTGCGGTGTGTATTAAAAGTGAGTTCCATAGTGCGGTGTGTATTAAAAGTGAGTTCTAGTGAGGTGTGTATTAAAAGTGAGTTACATAGTGCGGTGTGTATTAAAAGTGAGTTCCATAGTGCGGTGTGTATTAAAAGTGAGTTCTAGTGCGGTGTGTATTAAAAGTGAGTTCCATAGTGCGGTGTGTATTAAAAGTGAGTTCTAGTGCAGTGTGTATTAAAAGTGAGTTCCATAGTGCGGTGTCTATTAAAAGTGAGTTCTAGTGCGGTGTGTATTAAAAGTGAGTTCCATAGTGCGGTGTGTATTAAAAGTGAGTTCCATAGTGCGGTGTGTATTAAAAGTGAGTTCCATAGTGCGGTGTGTATTAAAAGTGAGTTCCATAGTGCGGTGTGTATTAAAAGTGAGTTCCATAGTGCGGTGTGTTTTAAAAGTGAGTTCCATAGTGCGGTGTATTAAAAGTCAGCGCCGGGGGAGACAAAACCAGCCGGCCGTGGTGATTCGCCACACCACCCTCGCCTCGACGTGTGCTGTGCCGGCCTTCACAGGGCGCTCGCTCACGGCACTTGCCCCCAGAGAGTCTCTGCTCAGGGCTAAACGGGGGATCGTTGCCTGCCCGCTTTTGCGCTCCTGCCAGGGGGCACGGCGCCTGGGTCCAGCACCGCCAGCACCGCGGCGTCGTCTCGGCGGTGTTCGTTGCTTCCAGCGAAGGGGGTCGTCTTCTCTTGTCTTCTGGATCGCGCCGGGCTCTCCAAAGTCGCCGCGTGTTTATCCCAGAACCTCTTTTGTAGCCACACACTGGGAACTGAACAGTTTCATTCACCAGACAAATCCCCGCGCGAGCCACGTAGCTCTGGTTCAGACGGCGACCTGGGGCCACACGCGAAGTCTCATCGCACCGGGCTTGGATAGATCGTCGTCGCCGCCGTCGTGGGAATGTATCGTGGCAGATAGCTCATCCTAAAACGCGTGGTGTTTGTGAAGGGGGTAAAAAAAGACAACGGAGGAACCCGGAGAACAATCCACTCGACCACCACGGGGGAGAGACACGGAAGAGAGACAACAAAGCGTAGTCGAGGTCCGGGGGATCGAACCCAGACCCTCCTGCGTACCAGACAAGGGAGATCACCGTTCATCTCCTGGCCACCGAGACGCCCCGCACCAGACGCGCACTCACGGGTCAGGCCTCCATGCCTCACTCGATACGTTTCAAGCCACGGCTTGGAGTGTGGCTTATGGACGTAAGGCGCCAACCACGTAGGGTACACGATACGGCCGCGCGTAATCACCCCGTGTTATTTGTACCCCGTATTCCTATATGGATACGGCGCGTTCCAAAACAATCCCGTTGGGGAACTGCGTTGTGGTCTCGCGTAGAATCAGCACAGCCGAGCGTTCGGAAGGACAAGAGTGGGCCCAGGAACGGAGACACCCCCAGACAGAGGCTCCGTTCAAAACCCCTGGACGGGCATTGTACAACAACGCCGGCCCTTAACGCAAACACACACGCAGCAGAATTACCTTTGGCACAACGGCTCCAAACGAATGTTCAAGACAAACGAATGTTACCCGTGGCTTTGGTGAATTAATGTTTCCATTGACTCGAACGCGTCGGGAAGAGGACATCGATCCGCGGAGTCGGAGCGATGTCGTGAGCTCGTGTGCAAGTGCTGGGGTGGAACATTCACGTCGCGAGAGACGGCGGCGGAGACTTGGGAAGTCATCCAGCAGTGGATTGACCAGGACGGTGACTAACACGGTGGAGACTGGCCGGCGTCGCGATGGGAATTAAAAGTTCGACACGGAGGCCGATTCTCTCTCGTGCGCGTGGTGGTGGTGGTCGTGGTGGTGGTTACTCGGTGTTGGTTACTCAGTGGTGGTGGTGTTGGTTACTCAGTTTTGGTGTTGGTTACTCGGTGGTGGTGTTAGTTACTTAGTGGTGGTTACTCGATCGTGGTGGTGGTGGTGTTGGTTACTCAGTGGTGGTGTTGGTGGTTACTCGATCGTGGTGGTGGTGTTGGTTACTCAGTGGTGGTGTTGGTTACTCAGTGGTGGTGGTGGTTACTTGGTGGTGGTTACTTGGTGGTTACCCGGCAAGGCCGTTTGAGAGCGCGCGGGGCACACAGAACTTTCACTTTCACGAGTCGCAAGCGCTCCCCTGATGATGGGCCACACGTGCACATTACAGCACGCGTGTCGCTTGGTGAGCAACGTGTGCTGCGACTGCGTCTGATGATGATGATGGAGATATTTCACTCGCTTTGAGACGCGCCAATGTAAGTCCGTCTCATGGTCACGATAATGATGCCGATAGATGAATGATGATCGTTAAACGATTGTGTCGATAGCGATGGTAATTGTGATTTTGATCGGACGATGATGAATTAATGATATTAGTGACGGTGGTGATAACTGAATGATGGCTGTTTGAAGGTGTTTGGTGGTTGGCGGAGTGGAGAGGGAGTCTCTGTCTCTCTCGTGAGACCGCGTGTCTCCGCTCTCTCTGCCAGTCTCCCCATCTCCGCAATTATGGGCGAGATCGCCCAGAATTCCGGAGAGTAATCCTTTAATGGCCACGCAGTTCCAGTCCACGCCTCCGTCTCCTTCTGCTCGTCGCGTGCCCTCTGTCCACCACCGGGGTAGCGCCCACATCTTCACCACGACCCACGGCTCATACGTGAATGATGATAATCATCATCAAGCATGTTCTATCCACCGCTGGATGAAGACCTCCATAAACTAAGCCACAGTTAATCTCCCACGAGCACTGCGATGCAAACGAGAAGACTCGCACCGGCGTGGCGCATCAGCCGATCTCACGGCCCCGTCTCTCTCGGGGTCGTTCCGTCTCTCTCTCGGGGTCGTTCCGTCTCTCTCGCGGTCGTTCCGTCTCTCTCTCGGGGTCGTTCCGTCATTGGTCTCGACTCCCCTGAGCCACCCCCTCCCGCCCAGTCGGGGCGCGTCCTGCCCACGCCCCACTTTACCCATCGACTCACTGCGATGCCTCCAACTTGCGGTGTGTTCTCGTGCACGCGTCCCACTTCCTGTAATTGTGATGATTGTGCTCTAGGCATCATCGGACGATAACTCGGTTTAGTTCCCCATTTTGCTTAATTGACACACACATCCTCTTTGATAGTTTTACCGTTTAGTGTCAACCAATCAACGCACCCACGCAAAAGATAACGATCCCCTGTATAGCCTCAACAGACTGTAGGGGCAAGTGCTGTTAGCGAGCATCTATTAAGGCCGGCACGGCACACGAGGGGTGAGTGGCCAGCACCACGCCCGGTCGCCTGGTACACATCGCACCAGGTGCTCATTTGAGGCTCAGTCGACCTAGGGGAGGCCCAGGTCACTGGCGTTGCCCGCGAGCGGGAATCGAACTCGGGTGGCCAGGTTCGTGGTCGCGTGGATTTTTCACCAGGTCCTCTGGTTTTTCGCTCCACATTTAACAACACAAACACACGCGTTCAGAGTATTTGGCCGCGATACATTTCCACGTGATGAACCACTTGGTTGAGCTATCGTTTGTGGCCAGGTCGCTTCTGAAAAATATCAGTGGGCCTCACCTGGTAAAATAGAAAGTTTAGCTTTAGTTGATCCGTGGTAGTCTCGTTGCTTGATCTACGGGTTCTTCCGATTGATTCTCCCCCTTCTCCTCCACGTCTCTAACACAACATGCGCTTGCATGATTTACCTGCTACTCTAAATTCCCACTTGGCGGTGATGATTTTTAAGCGACTTCGATGAAGCCTCTGAAAAACAGCGACAGTACGAGTTCGTCGGGTTTTACCTGGGGAATGAAAATCGGCGATCTTAACGTTGTGTGGAGGCAAGCAGACACACGCAGACACAAGCAGACACACGCAGACACAAGCAGACACACGCAGACACACGCAGACACAAGCAGACACACGCAGATACACGCAGACACAAGCAGACACACGCAGACACACGCAGACACAAGCAGACACACGCAGACACAAGCAGACACACGCAGACACAAGCAGACACACGCAGACACAAGCAGACACACGCAGACACACGCAGACACAAGCAGACACACGCAGACACAAGCAGACACACGCAGACACAAGCAGACACACGCAGACACAAGCAGACACGCAGACACACGCAGACACGCAGACACAAGCAGACACACGCAGACACAAACAGACACACGCAGACACAAGCAGACACACGCAGACACAAGCAGACACACGCAGACACAAGCAGACACACGCAGACAGAGACGCGTACACACGGAGACATCACACCGTTCCTTAATCACGTTCTCATTTTTTTTGTTTGACTTCTAAGACATTGAAAGCTCACGGACAGGGCGGATCGCACAGAGTGCCTCTCTCTCTGTCCCCGTGTTACGCAGTGTTCGAGTCGAGAGCCGACGCGGGGAAGAGTCGCTCGCAAACACCGTCCAGAGGGGCGGTGGGGGGGGGCTTGATCCCCGAGAATCCTCAGCGCGTTCCATGGTGGTGGGGGGGGGGTGCGGAGTAACGAGACCCCCACGCACGCTGGGCGCGCGTCGGTGCCTCGTGGTTTGCGCGGACGTCGTCCTCACCCCGTGACGGACCGCCGGGAACGCGCGGCCGCGAGGGACTTTCCCTCTTCGCGGTTCACTCTGAGAAGTCTTCGTTTCACGTAAAGCTGCCAGGGCGACCCGCTCATCGTTCGTCGATGCCACCGCGCGTGTGTGTGTGGGGAGCGGTGGTGGAGTGGTGAGCGCACCGCGTTGCGACGTGGGAGATCCGAGTTCGATTTTCGCTCGCGGCCAACACCGGGGCACAAAGTCGGAAATTTGATCCTGGGTCTCCTCTCGGTCGACTCGGCATTAAATGGAGTACCGCAGGTGCTTGACACGTGTTCCTCGCTTTACCGCACGCACGTGCACACCGCACGCATGTGTGTGTAATCGTGTGCAGACAGTCCCGCGTACCGGTTCATTTGTAATTATTCCGCGGAGTAAATTGAAGCGTGTAAACGAATCGTCGATTGGCGCACCGTTCAAATCGATTTCCACGCCACGATATCGAGAGAATTCGGCTATTCGATTACGCGTTAATGCAACTTACATTGCACATTTGCATTCAGGGTTACGGCGAGAAGTAGATTACAAACGAGATGGAGCAATGCAGGCGAGATGGAGCAATGCAAATGAAACAAACAGAGTCGTATGCTGTGATGGGGTGATGGGTGCATCTTGAAAAACTCAACACAGGCCGATGGAGTGGAGCGACGGGCATCTTCGACTCCGGGTCACAACCCCGTTGAGACACGGAATGTCGAAACCGGTCCAGAGTTTTGTTTGTACCGAGTCACTGCTGATGAGCGTATTCACTTCCACAAGGCCGTGGGGCCGAATACTTTCATCTTGCACGTGGACAGGTACACCTGTACAGTGCACGGTGCACTGTACACCTGCACAGTGCACTATACACCTGTACAGTGTAATATACACCTGTACAGTCTACTGTACACCTGTAGTGTACTGTACAGTGTGCTGTGCAGTGTCCTGTGCACCTGTGCAGTGTACTGTACAGTGTATTGCACGCCTGTACAGTGTATTGCGCGCCTGTACAGTGAACTGTGCACCTGTACAGTGTACAGTACACCTGTGCAAGTGTACTGTACATGTGTATGCTGCAAGTGATAGTCACGTGAGGGCCTACGGATGATGACGCACGAGCGACGCCGCTCTGTCCCGCACGCGTTTGGGCTTCGTTTATCGGTAGGGGGAAAAAGTGGAAAGCGGTTCGAAGTTTCGATTTGAAGCTGTCGTGACTGCAGGGATTCATCTTCGTGGTTCTTTCCATTCTACGTGACTTTACCGAAAGAAGCAAGAAGGTGTTGGAAGTTACTCACAAAGCGTCCCATTGTGACGTAACTGCGCACGTGTTCAATCCACGAATTCGGTCTCAGTGACGCCATCACAGCGCCACGTGGGCAGCCGTAACTTTAAACACGCAGTCGGCCTTTCGCGACCAACATTATCCATAAGAGAGGATTTTGGGTGAGATTGCGTGAATATAATAAGTGTGTCGGGTGGTGGCGGGTTTAACGACGCATTTATATTGTGTCGTCAAGCGTAACAATTACAATCCGCGATCGAACCCGAACACCTCGATTATGGATCGTAACTTTAAAGTGTTTTTTTTTCATTATCAGCGAAGCATAAAACTGGCGTCGTCGAGACAGAATCATCATATTTAATTATACTGGAGGAATCCGATGAGCTATAAAGCTCTTTGTCCGCAGATGTCCAGTAGAAGCGAGGCTGCAAGAGCGGCCCCGGGATCCCGATAGCGCTGAGCACAAGAACACAGCACGGCTTGTTTACCCATCAGGAGGAAAGGATTTAAAAATCCCACGTTACTAATCGCCGCTAAGTAAACCTGGTCGTTATCAATTAACCTCGTGGATTGTAATCAATAATTAACATGCTATTGTTGGGATCCCCGAATCGGCAACTTTGCATCTTGGCGAGAGCATTGTTCCCATAGCGGTGAGATTAAAATATAACAATTACAGTCGTAGTCCAAGTGTACAGAGGCAGCTCCACTCGCACTGCACCGAATCAACGCATTACCCCCCCCCCCACACACACAGGTAGCGGAGCGAGCGTGGAGCAGGCGGGGGGTGCCTTGCCCCCCCCCCCGTCACCAAAGCTGAGAGTTTGGGCCCCGTGACACTCACCAAGAGAGATGTTTTCAACAAGTGTAAAAGAAAGCACTTAAAAAACGCGGTTGAAATTTAAATGTGTTGATGTAAATGTTCAAACATTTACCTTCCACGTTTTATTTAAAATTTTATTAGAGCGGCGGTAACGTTTGGCCTCTGAATATTTGCGCATCGCGTGTTTGTGTCTCTGTTGTTGTCGCCGTGTAACCGGGGAGGCGAGCGGAGCCGGTCGCGGCTGCTTTTTGCGACGGCAAAGCGCCCCCACAGCGGTAAATGTCCGAGACCGTGAGCGTGACGATGCGAGTTTAACACGGAGGGCTTTCTCGACCAATATTATCCAGAGGTTTTGTTTGGGGTTAGATCGCGTAAAAATGTGTCGTTAAGCCCCGCCACCACCCGACACAGCCAATTCGTAAGGCTTGTCACGTAAACGTGACAATTCGTTGCTAGTTCAGCACGCCGGTAGTGGCGTTGGAGGGTAAACCCACGGCAATTACAATTCCAGCGCCGTGACGTTTCGCCGGTAATGACGTGACCAGGGCCAGCGGAGCCGCGATGTGGAATCGCCTCTCGGTGCGAGCGTGCGAGACGAATCATATTGGGGTGGTGGGGGGGGCCCACCTGACCGATTGCCGCCCCCCCCTGCGCAGACTTTGTCGTTGTTACTCCACCACCGACGCTGACGACGCTGACGCCGACGAGGATTTTCCTAGCGAGAGCTCCCTCCACCCTCGTGACTCGCGCGCCCAAGACGTCGCGGGCGGCTTCCACGGCGCGGCTCTCGCGCGTCGGGAACGATTCTAGAGTCCCCTCCTGCGTGGTGGCGTTCCCCGTGCCTCTCGGGTCCACCGCTCTCATCGCGAGCGGTGCTGTCCGTTTGGCACGCGATGATAACATGGGACGCGTGTACATTTTTCAAACAAAAAATCACAAATCGTGGATTTTATTAGACGCGCGAGCCGGTTAATTTGTTTTTGTTTGTTACGGAGTATTCGTGACGCGCCGAGAACACGCGGCAGTCGATTCGCGTGGACCGGTGAGGATTGCGGTCCGCACCTGGTGACTCCCTCGAAGATTATTGACGGGGGAGGGGTGGGGGGGGATACATTTGATCGATCGAGGTGGTGGGGTGGAAAAGTAGGCCAACATACCCTGGCGAGGGGCTCTGTAGCGCTCGCTCTGGTGGTGCGCGCGAGCTATTACAGGGCTGCGCCTCTACACGTTTTTTTTTTACACTCCACGGACAGACCGGCTCCCGTCATAGCAATGTGGAATGTCCGGTGACGAACATTTAGCGCGGCATCCGATGCGATGGATCGCACTTTGGCCTGTGACAAACGGCTTCATGCGGAACTCATGCGGAATGTTAGAACGGACTTTAAAAGCGAACGCAAACATTAATTACGTTAAAAAACCAATCCGTCTAATAACAGGCACGACGAGCACGTGTCGATCGTGGTGGTGGACTTCACTGCCCGTGCCTCCGACGGAGCGGTGGGATTATAATTTGGCGCGCGCGTCACCTTTCCATCGACATTTCTTGGCGTTTGCACAAAAGAGTATTCATAATAATAATGATGCTAATACTGTTGGATACCAGACTCGTGAAGTTTTTGTATCCATCGCGCGCGTGTGTAGTGTGTGTGTGTGGACTGCACGGCGATCCATTTAGAGTTACCCCATTGATTTCGAATGCACCCATCCCTCCATCTTCTCGACAGTGAGTAATCGTGAAACAGCGACGTCTCGGCGTCTTCGCAAAGGAGGAGAGCCATGGGGAGATCGACACGACGGCGTTGCGGAGGTTGGTGGGAGACTCGTTAGCAAGAGGATCTTCAATCAAACGTAGACTTCTCTATTAAGTGGGCCGCGGTCATTTGAGTGGGGTGTCTATAAATGGATCGCCCTGTTTTTCTGCTGAGCACCTTCCCATAAAAAAGTTAAGCGACCAGCAACGAACAGCACTAACACGAGTAGTAGTCGAAATAGATACGAGGGTGTGTGAGTGAAGATACAACACTTACGTGAGCGTAGGGGGACAATAATATGAACAAAAATTAATTGACGCCGCACGATTTCAAACGAAAAGAGAGACGGACGAAATGTCGTTGCCCTGAGAATTGAGCGCAGGAACATCGGCCGGTAGGGGGCACGGCGCCGCGACTTCAAACATCGATTATCCCCACCCCCTCACCCCCGCGTTCGACATCGGGCTCGCGGAAACGGACATTACAGAGCTACTTCTTACATCGTTTTAAAATGCCACGTGATGCACAATATAGGGGGAGAGGAGGAGCGGTTGTGGGAGGCGGCAACGCTTCTCCAGATGCCCAGGCCGTGCAGCAGCAGGAGCGCGTTCCTGTTTGTGACCGGACAGCAGACACGATCGCCTGGACTTCCCCCCGGGAGATGGAATTTATCCGCGTGAAGCGCGGAGCCAAACGTGGCGCGGGGTCTTAGTCTCTGCTGCAGCTCTCCCCCCCCCCCACTCGTACAGATTGTTGTTTTTTTACACGTCCCATCGGCCTCGCGGTCCCCTTTAGAAGGGCGCAACATCAGCAGCGTCGACTCGGCGCAAGAAATGCTCCGGCAGCGGTTTCGCGACACGGTGTCTCATCGGCAGTCGCGCTCGCTTGAAATCAACGCTGGCGAACTGGCAGACGGTTTATAGGGAGGGGACCCTCTCTTAAAGATGCGGGTCCCTCGTTTGACGTACAACTCTACAACACAACACACAGTAATCACCGGCGACGCTCTATTGATATCCTACACCAGCGTTGACGCAGAGCAAGCCCGAATCTGCTGACGAGGCACGGCGAGTCGAAAGCGGCGCAGAGTTTGCTTGCGCCGAATCAACGCTGCTCAAATGATGCAGAACCGTGAGGATTAGCCGGGTGTGGAGATTTTGCCGTTTGCCAGCAACGGGGAAACGATTCGCGTCTGGCGCGCGCGACTCCACGCGCTGAGCGAGCGATCGTGGACGCAACGCTGAGAGAGTTTTTAAATCGACGAGTTCGTCTCATCGGAGCTGCCTGCCGACTCGGCTGACCGAAGTCAGTTTGAAGCCTCCGGTTCATGAAACGTCTGTGAACAAAAAAGAAGAGCTTCACAGCTCATCGGATTCCTCCATTCTAAATAAAGATTCTGATTCTGCGAAGAATACAACAACGACGACGACTTTAAATTGACTTCCAGACGCCACCGTGTGCAGTGACGTCACAAAGGGCCCCCCACCCCCTGCTTCCCCCCCCCCCCCCGGCAAGATGTCTAACTCTGATTGTGCTTCATCTCTCTTTCTCTAGAACGAAGGAAGATTCCAATTCGTGTCGGGCAGCCGCTGCTGCCACTGCTGCGCATAGCTTCGAGATAAGAGCCGGGCCGTTTCGACCGCCACGGCGCGCCTGGCGGTTCACGTGGCGATTGGCGATGAAGAACGAAGCCGTCGACGTCTTGACGACGCCAAATGCTTCTTCATCCACGTCCGAATCTCTACGAAGACACGCGGAGGTCCCGATCCAATCACCGCCAGCACCGGGGGATCATCGGCGCAGCGAGGCGACTCGGCACATTCGATCGTCGTCGTCTTTGTCGTCGTTGTCCGGGAATTAAATTCACGCGCACGGCTTCATCACGCGAGCTCCGCGTGCGGAGTCGAGTCGCACTCTTCTAGTCTGTACGGCGGCGGCGGCGGCGTCAGCCGTGGCGACCGCAGGGCGCTGCGCGCGGCTCACAACGGCTGAAACTTCCACGCGGCGCCCGGCTGCTCCTTGTAGTCCTGCAGGCACTCGGCCGCGCTGAAGTTGAGCTTCCAGGAGGCGCTCTGCTCCTTGTAGTCCAGGTAGTCGCCCCCCGCGAAGCCGTAGCACTGCGGGGGCAGCGGCGCGGCGTGGGGGGACACCTGGCCCAGGGCCCCGACCCCCAACCCCGACGACGCGGCCGCCGAGAGGGGGCTCAGCCCGGCGCTGTGGCTGGGCAGGGTCATGGCCGGCAGGTAGGGCCCGCCGCCTCCCCCGCCGCCTCCCCCGCCCCCGCACTCCACGCCGTAGTAGGAGGCCGCCGTGTAGCCCTGCGGGGGGCCGTACCCCCCGCTCTGCACGAAAGGCCCCATGGCGCCGTAGGAAACGCGCTGCTGCTGCTGCACGGTGCAGGGGGAGCCTCCCTGCACGGAGGAGGAGTGGTGGTGGCCCCCGCCGTTCACCCCCAGGGACCCCCCGGCCCCGCCCGCTCCCCCGGCGCCGCTCAGACCCAGGGCCCCCAGGCCGAGGGGGTCGAGTCCCGGGGACACGGGCGCGGGGCTCCATATGGACGCGGGGGTCCCCGCCGACGGCACGCCACCCCCCATCACCCCCGCGCCGTTCGTGCCGCCGTGGTTGTGGCTGTGGTTGTGGCCGCCGTTGTTGCTGCCGCTGCCGCTGCTCGTGGTGGTGGTGCCGCTGGTGCTGGTGCCCGTGCCGCCGGCCGCGGGGGAGAAGCGGCTGGGCCCCCCCCCATCTGGGGTGCCGTCTTGGGGGGCGCTCTTCTTCTTGGGGGGCCGCGGCTTCGCGGGCCCCCCGCCCGACGCGGCCTGCTGCTGCTGCTGCCTGCACTTAGCGCGCCGGTTCTTGAACCACACCTGGAAGAGAGGGGGGAAGAGGGTTCAGCGACGCCCACTCGTCTTCGTCTCGCGCACAGGCTGCACGCGCCTGATGATGGCTAAACACGGCAGACAGAGCCGATTAAAATAAAGATTTATATCACGCGTGGGTGTGTGCGCGCAACATCAGGTGCGTGTCGCCTGTCACGGCTTCGTTCGTGCTGGAACGGAGAAGCCGAATAAACGAGGAATGTGGTTTGGGAAACCCGAAATTATGAATCTCGTTTTAGGCCCAGTCGATCTAGGCGGGGTTCAAACACTTCACGTATAGTCACGTGACAGCATGAGGCCTGGGATGGGAAAGCGAAGGAGGGAGCTGTGAAAATCACGACATGGAACGTCGGGCAAACGTCGATGCAATGGTTCCAACCACGTGCCAACGTTGGCCTAACATTTTGTCGACACTGCCCGACACGGGTTCAGGAGCTCGCGAACGACGCACACACAGCACGGACACACAGCACGCACACAGCACACACCACACAGCACAGCGCACACACACAGCACAGCACACACACACCACACCGCACACACAGCACACACACACAGCACATACAGCACGCACAGCACACACACCAAACACACCACACAACACGCACACACAGCACACACACAGCACGGACACACAGCACACACATCACACAACACGCACACACAGCACGCACACACAGCACACACACCACACAACACGCGCACACAGCACGCACACACCACACAACACGCACACACAGCACGCACACACAGCACGCACACACCACACAGCACGCACACACAGCACGCACACACAGTACGTGCTCTGCAAGGCACTCCCTGCACGTGGGCGTCGAGGAGGATCCTAAGGCTGGGCTGGCCAGCAGACGGCAGCACAACAAGTGCACCAATCGCCATCCGTTTTTATCTGTACAGCCGGGGCATAGTGCTGTCGCGCACGCGCGTGTACGCACACGTGGGTTTTCAGGTTTCCTCCCGCTTGTACAATAAACAAACTCGTCATTAATTGGCTGAAAACTTCTTACAATGCGAACCCAATGTGGCAACAGCCCCGGCTCAGCGTGGCCCTCCTGGATGAAGACGTGAATTTTTGCAACCCAGTGAGGTCACGGTGACAGCAACAATCGCAGTGTTTACCCACGGCAGTTCTCTCGCTGTGAATGTATTTGATAATTTTTGTACTTTGTGTCACGATCCACCCTCCATTGCGATATCCGGTGGTAAGTCACGAGCCTGGGCATCCGTTGTGAACTCTCGCTTCGTGCTAGAGAACGGCCCGCGGAAGCGGCCATCGCAGAGCCACCACCGAGACACCTTCTTCCAGTGACCTCTAAGGCCACACAGGAAGGCGGGGCGTCCCATTCGCCCCCCTGGCAGGCACGACCCACACAGAGTAAACTTCACCCTAACTCTCAATAATATTTTTTAAAAATATAATAATGATATAACTATTATTAATTACGAAACCTCCATCTCGTGGCTGGCTTTACCGCCGCCTGCATCTCGCGTGACGACAGCGCCGCGCCGTCGTTGTTGTTGTGGTGGTGGTGCTGCTGCTGCTGGTTGTTGTTGTTGTGGATTTGCGAGTCAAGAATGCTGTCTGGACTCGGTTCGGGCGTGGGTTTGCTTGACGCCAATGTCACGGCGGGGGGGGGGGGGTGAGTTGGGGGGGTGAGTTGGGGGGGGGGGGGTTGGGGGGGAAGTTGGAGAGGGTGCGTCGCTGATGAGCGCGTGGATTACTCCCAACGCAAGGTAGTGAGTGGGCGGCTTCAGCAAGCCTCACGCTGCCGATGAGATACCGAATGTCGAAACCGGTCCAGAGGGTTTGGTTGTATGAGACGAGCAGAGCTGAGAAAGATAACTCCCAGAAGGCGGCGTGGCTGCCAGGATGTGTAAACACAGCTGAGTGGTTCTGCACGGAGGGGCCGGCACGGGAAGGAGGCGAGTCCTGTCTGCGTGTTCACGTTGTTGCGTGGATTAGTCGCTTTGTTTTGTGTTTCGTTACTGAAGCGACGAATCGCCAGCCTGGCCGCGCGTGCCCACCAGCAGAGACTCGGGGTGCGGTGCCAGCATCAGAGATCCACGACTCGAGGTGGAGGAGGAGGAATGATATCTTGCAGAGAAAGACGAGGGTCAGCGCTGTCCCGAGGGTACGGCGAATCGGGGCGACGACTACCCCGGGTCCCCACACCCCCACACACCCCCCCTGGGGGGGTAGTGAAGCGGTGGGGGGGGGGGGGGGCGCGCTTCGACGTCACGGTGTCATCAGATGTGACACCTCTCGTTGAGGGTCCCGCATCCCCCTAGAGACAGCCCTGGGGATGAGGTTGTTGATGACGATGATGATGGTGGTGGAGAAGAAGAAGAAGCGAGTGAACAGTAAGACGAACGGAGAGCAAGGAGGCAGACGAATGATGATGGAGGAGGAGAATGGGTAATGATTACCATGGTGCTTAGGAGAAGAGAAGGAGAAAGTGATGATTGATGACGAAGCGATGATGGATGGAGGATGAGTGGTGGTGGTGGTGATGAGTGGTGGTGGTGATGATGATGAGTGGTGGTGGTGGTGATGAGTGGTGGTGGTGATGATGATGAGTGGTGGTGATGATGATGAGTGGTGGTGGTGATGATGATGAGTGGTGATGATGATGAGTGGTGGTGGTGATGATGATGAGTGGTGGTGGTGATGATGAGTGGTGGTGGTGATGATGAGTGGTGGTGGTGATGATGATGAGTGGTGGTGGTGGTGATGATGAGTGGTGGTGATGATGAGTGGTGGTGGTGATGATGAGTGGTGGTGGTGATGATGAGTGGTGGTGGTGATGATGATGAGTGGTGGTGGTGATGATGATGAGTGGTGGTGGTGGTGATGATGATGAGTGGTGGTGGCGATGATGATGAGTGGTGGTGGTGGTGATGATGAGTGGTGGTGGTGATGATGAGTGGTGGTGGTGATGATGAGTGGTGGTAGTGATGATGAGTGGTGGTGGTGATGATGAGTGGTGGTGATGATGAGTGGTGGTGGTGATGATGATGAGTGGTGGTGATAATGAGTGGTGGTAGTGATGATGAGTGGTGGTGATGATGAGTGGTGGTGGTGGTGATGATGATGAGTGGTGGTGATGATGAGTGGTGGTGGTGATGATGAGTGGTGGTGGTGGTGGTGGTGATGATGAGTGGTGGTGGTGATGGACGAGGGTGGCCCCCACCTGCACGCGCGACTCGGGCAGGTTGATCTTGAGCGCCACCTCCTCGCGCATGAAGATGTCGGGGTAGCGCGTCTTGGAGAAGAGCGACTCGAGGACGTCGAGCTGCGCTCGCGTGAACGTCGTGCGCTCGCGACGCTGCTTGCGCGGCGGCGCTGCCAGGGGAACACGCGCACACACAGCTACACACACAGCTACACACACAGCTACACACACAGCTACACACACAGCTACACACACAGCTACACACACAGCTACACACACAGCTACACACACAGGCACACAGCTACACACACAGCTACACACACAGGCACACAGCTACACACACAGCTACACACACAGGTACACAGCTACACACACAGCTACACACACAGGCACACAGCTACAGACACAGCTACACACACAGGCACACACAGCTACACACACAGCTACACACACAGGCACACAGCTACACACACAGGCACACACAGCTACACACACAGCTACACACACAGGCACACAGCTACACACACAGCTACACACACAGCTACACACACAGCTACACACACAGGCACACAGCTACACACACAGCTACACACACAGGCACACAGCTACACACACACCTACACACACAGCTACACACACAGGCACACAGCTACAGACACAGCTACAAACACAGCTACACACATAGCTACACACAGGCACACAGCTACACAGCTACAGACACAGCTACATACACAGCTACACACACAGCTACACACACAGGCACACAGCTACACACACAGCTACACACACAGGCACACAGCTACAGACACAGCTACACACACAGGCACACAGCTACAGACACAGCTACATACACAGCTACACACACAGGCACACAGCTACACAGCTACAGACACAGCTACATACACAGCTACACACATAGCTGCACACATAGGCACACAGCTACAGACACAGCTACACACACAGGCACACAGCTACAGACACAGCTACATACACAGCTACACACACAGGCACACAGCTACACAGCTACAGACACAGCTACATACACAGCTACACACATAGGCACACAGCTACAGACAGCTACACACACACAGGCACACAGCTACAGACACAGCTACATACACAGCTACATACACAGCTACACACACAGGCACACAGCTACAGACACAGCTACACACACAGGCACACAGCTACAGACACAGCTACGAACACAGCTACACACACAGGCACACCGCTACACAGCTACAGACACAGCTACATACACAGCTACACACAGAGCTCCATACACATCTACACGCACACACAGCTACAAACACAGCTACACAGCTACAGACACACAGCTACACGCAGCTACAGACACAGATCCCCCGTGTAGCCTCAGCAGGCTGCTGGTGAAAGTGCCGCGAGCGAGGAGGCAGCTTCTGCGAAGGCCGGAACGCCACACGCGGTGAGCACCGCGCCCGGCCGCCTTTGTCTTCCCGGTGGCGTTTACACATCGCACCAGGTACTCGTTTGTGGCAGAGTAGACCTAGGAGGAGCTCCAGGATCGGTTCAGATAATCGTCACCGGTGTTGGCCGTGAGCGGGAATCCAACTCGGGTCGCTGGGTTCGTAGTGCAGCATAGCGCTAACCACTACACCACCGCTCCCCCCTCTCACATACATCGTGGGTCACACAAAGATGCCCCATGTAGCCTTAATAGACTGTTGGAGCAAGTGCGGTTAGCGAGCACCTACGAAGTCACACACACATAGGTACAGTCACACATGACCCAGGCAGGCACAAGCAAACACGTGTACGCACACAACAGGCACGCTCACATTTGTAAACAACAACCGCCATTCGCCACTAAGTGACGAGGACTTCACCACAGCGCTCGTGCCAGGCTAGGTGCACCTTGAGGCCACGCGAGGCGTCGAAGGCTCGCAGGCAGGTCATGGGATAGACCCCAGGTGCCACGGGTTGAACTGCCCGAGATGACCGGCAGGTGCACCACCAGGTGCGCTCCCGTCAACTTCATCAACTTGCTGCCGTTGTGAGCGTCGCCTCTCCGCTGGAGGGCAACTGCCTTCCAACTCCCCAGCAGCGTCCTTCACGAGCCTCCTCTCCAGAGGCCGATCTTGACACCGCTGTTACCGGTCTTCGGGCAAGTTCACTCAGCTCCACATCCTCCCGTATCGCATCAGTTCCATCTCTCTTCTCCAGCCCGTGCCGCGCCCTTTTTACCCCCCCCTCTATCCGGCCCAACAGAAGCTGCTTGGGCATGCGGTGGTGGTCGAGCATGCGGGCGACACGACCCGGCCAACGCAACCTCGCCAGCCCGAGTATCTCACCGATGGGACCGCGTGCAGATTCTCTCCGGGCTCTGCGAGCTCCTCGCACAATCCTGCCTGGCGTTAAACCCAGCATGGCTCGTAGGCGGGGCCAGGCTGAATGTCTCGAACCTGCCCAGAGGTTCCTTTAAAGGGGCTCCAAGTGAGCGAAGCACCACGGGTATCGTCACCGACACGCGCGGGCCGAGGGCCAAGCGCAGGCAGACACGCGCAGGGTGCGCAGAGGCACAGCACACGCACAGCAAGCGCCAGGCACTTCGTGTGCGTTGTGCTGCTGCTGTACGTACGGTGCCGCAAACGGTTGGCTGCGTACGGTGCGAAAAAGTTCAACCATACGCTGGCAACGAGTGGCCGTTGATGCCGGCACATGAATAGGCCGCTCGTTTTTCAACATTTATGATGGATTATTTTATTAGGCGCGCAACAACCAAACGTTACCGTCCATGTGCGCTATGAAGAAGGGCCATTGACCGACACGTCGGTTACTATATACGGGTTTCCTGGCGCTGTCGAGAATGAAACGCAAACACACGAGGCATCCCCTCCCCCCTTACCCCACCCCCCTTACCCCACCCCTCCCCCATCCCCCACCACCTCATCTCCCCCCTTTCCCCACCCATCCCCCACCACCCCCAGGGTGGGAGCACATGACGTTAATTGAACCGCAGAGACAAAGGCGGAGCGCGTTCCGTCCTCATTGTTCTCCGGTTCATTTCAAACTCGCTTCGCGATCTCTTTCCTCGCAGTCTCCTGCGCAGTTAAACTCACGGGGTAATTTGGCGAGTCGCATCATGAGCAAGCGGACGCATACGAGAACAGATACAAAGATCTTCCCCCCCGCCAGCCTTTACGGAATGTTGGGGACAAATTATGTTAGCGAGTGGCACCTACGCAGTCAGGAGCGTTACACACCGCACCAGGTACTAATTTGAGTCTAAACTAAAACTTAAACTCAACTTTGTGTGTGTTTTAAAAACTTTTTACCACTGAGCTATGTAGCTTTTCTTCCAGAAGCTACCTGGTCACAAATGATAGCTCAACAAAGTGGCTTACCACGTGGACATTTACAGCAGCCAAAAAACACTCTAAACGCGTGGTGATGTTGATTCCAAATGTGGAGGGAAAACCCGGAGGTCCCGGAGAAAAATCCACGCGACCACGGAGAGATCTAAACACACGCAAACTCCAAATATACAGCAGCAGCAGGCGTCAGGGTCAGGATCGAACCCACGACCTCCCTGTGTACACCAGGCCAGGTGGTTAACGTCTCGCCGACCCCAGGGAGAGGATGGACCCGTACCCTGGGTGATGAAAATGTGCGCAAACCTCGATGAGAATAAACGTTGGTAAGAGGGCAGCTGACTTTGCATGTCCAGGTGACATCCCCATTCCTTCCCGTTGGGGCAGTGCTCAAACACGAATCCCCTAAGGGCGCGCAACTGGCACGAGCAACCAAGGGTGGCTCCACTCTGCTGATGAGTGCCGATCTCGAGAAAACCCCGGCGTACGTCTCAATTGTCCCACGGCCTAAATTGCATCGCCGTAAGCGCAGCTGTTTAAAATTGGTGGCCAATTCGGGTTGTTCAAATTAGGGTTGTTTTCATCCGTTACCGGTAACCGCATCCAGAAAACAACCGGTTAAATAAGCGGTTATCAGTTTACCGCACATATCGTAATGTCCGGTAATGAATGTTACATTTGTACTTTTTTTAAACTGAGAAATGAAGACAATTGTAGTACCACGCGGTGGCTTAACCCGTCGTAAGATCGTGCGTGCCAATGGGTGAACACGCATTCCTAAAATTCGACTCTAAACGGTTACCGGTTTCTGCATTTCAGGACCGAGAACCGATTGCGAAAACGGTTAGCGAGCTGTGTCCCCCCCCCCCCCCCTCGAGTTCTCCCACGTGGTTCCGACGTTGCGCAGCGTGCCGGTTACAGGAAGCGCACGCTGCTGCTGCTGTCATTATGCAGTGACGCGGCGAATAATGAACCCTGTGGACTCATTAAATGATGACTTTTACATGACCACGAAGCAATCGATTATTACGGATTCCACGCAGTAACATGTGCGTTAGCAGTGGTGCAAAATCACAACTCATAAAACGGACTTAATTCACTGTGTTGCCTTAGATAGACGTCAAACGTGTATATAATAGGCGACGTTTCGGGCAATGACCCCACCTCTTGCACACGTGTCAGGAAATGAAATAATAAGTAACGATACGACAATATTTTGAAAAAACGGACGATACCATTTTTATGCACGCTCTATCGTAGTATCGCCTGTGAGTGATGGTACACTCATAAACACGCGTGTACACAGTGCTGTAGTGTACACACGTTGATGTACACTCGTAGACACTGGTGTACGCACACACACGCGGTGATGCACACGCGTTCCAAGACTCCATCAGCGTTCATGTGTTCACGTAGAATCAAATCTGCTTCCTGTTTAACGCGTAAATTCCCGGTTACATAATTGTGGCATTTCCACATTCCTGTGGCGGCGGGGCAGTCCGTGACGATCTCCAATGTGGTGAGCGGCACATCTCTTGAGGGATTGGACGCAGGGGAGGTGTGCTGCACGTGTGACGCCAGTCTAATCGTTCGTCTCCTGCGCGAGTGTTATAGCTGCTAGACGCATTCCCATACTGGGCAGGATCATTGCGAGACAGACGTTAGTTTCGCGACCAATATCCGTAATGAATTCTGGATAATCGCCTGATGAAGCTTGTTTATGATCACCAGCGAAACGTCACAGTACTCGAATTGTCAACGTTGTGGGTTTACTCTCCCACAACAGCAGTGTGCTGCAGCAGTAACGAATTGGCACGTTG